GAGTGCAGTGGAGGATGGCCCAGGTGCTTGGGCCCTGCACCCCATGGGAGACCAGGAAAAGCACCTGGCTCCTGGCTCCTGCCATCGGATCAGCGCGGTGCGCCGGCCGCAGCGCGCTGGCCGCGCTGGCCATTGGAGGGTGAACCAACGGCAAAAAGGAAGACCTTTCTCTCTGTCTCTCTCTCTCTCACTGTCCACTCTGCCTGTCAAAAAGAAAAAAAAAAAATGCCATTACCAGTTGGCCTACATCAAAGTTTAAAACTTTTGTGCATCAAAAGGTACTATCAGCAGAATCTAAGGCAACCCACAGAATGGAAAAAAAAAATTTGCAAGTAATATATCAGATAAGAATTTAATATCCAGACTATATAAAGAATGCTTATTGCTCACCAAGCACAACCAATTTTTGAGGTAAAAATGGGGAAAGGACTAGATTAGACATTTCTGCAAAGGAGGTATGGAAGTGGCCAACAAGCACATGGAGAGAGGCTTCATGTCACAAATCATTCAGGAAATGCAGATCAGAGTCACAGTGACACCTCCCGTCCATTGGGATGGCGTTGGAGAAAATGCAGAAAGTAACAAGTGTTGGCGGGGACGTGGAGGAATTGGAATCTTTGTGTAAAGCTAGTGAGGATGTAAAATGGTGCAGCTGCTGTGAATAAAAAAAGCAGTACGGTGACTCATCAAAGAACTAAAAATAGAATCCCCATATGATGCAGCAATTCCTCTTCTGCGTATCTAGGGAGAAGCATAGAAAGGTGGGAAGGAAGAGGTATTCGTGTTCACAGCCTGCACGTTATTCGCAGTAGCCTAAGGCAGAAGCAACCCAGTGTCGCCAGCAAATGAAGGGATAAGCAGAACGTGGCCGAGGTGTCCAGGACTCCCACTCCGAACGTGGCCGAGGTGTCCAGGACTCCCACTCCGTCTCAGAAAGGAAGGAAGTCCTGCCACCTGCTGCCGCCCTCAGGACGTCATGCTGGGTGAAAGGAGCCGTTCATAACAGGAAGAAAACTGCACGATTCCATGAGGCCGGGGTCCCTAAAATAGCCCAATTCATAGAGACAGAAACAGAATGGAGGCCTGGGCGAGGGGAGAAGGGGGCGCTGCAGTGTAACAGGACCTGTTTCGGTTTTGTGGGAGTTGACCCTGCTCTGCACCGGTGGCGCGATCGGATCATGTTGACGACTCTAGCATCCGTCGCCACGTTGCTCAGGGGCTTCTAAAAAAGGAAATGCAGAAAGTGACCTCATTTTCCTGGATCTCTGGGAAGCTCCGACTCAGATTAAGAGTCTCATTAAATTGCCATTTTTAAAAGAAAGACAGTTCATACAAGAGCAAATAAGATTAAGGGCATGTCTGTCCCTGCGTCTTGTGAGAATGGCTGGAAGGATGGTTATCGAATTTGGAGGATATATTTGGGATGGTTTGAATCAATGGCAGATGCCTGTTCACCTCGACAGGGTCTCAGGAAGTCGTCCTTCTGAGCAGGGAAACTGAGGTACCACAGGGGACCCCGTGCAACTGTCAGTGGTGGTGGTAGGGAGAACCTGACGTTGCCACAAAAGACTGTAAATGTGACTTCAGCGTCAGCTGCACCTGAGCTGTGAGGGTCGGCACCTGCAATTTCGAGTTGGCTTTCGACCGGGCTGCCTCTAGGTTTGGGCAGTTCCAGACGCCTACTCTGAAGTGAGAAGCAATATGTTTTATTGATTAAAAAAAAGTAGCTAATGCCACCAGCAAGACACCTTATAATCACTGCACAGAGACCAGCCCTGAAAGAAACCCATGATAACAGTAACATGGTTATTTTCTGGATGATAGGCTCATGATTCTAATTTTCTTTTAAAAAATTTTTGTATTTTTCAGTTTCTATAGTGAGCATTTTAATGGCAGAACATAAATACAAATAAACGTATTTTCATCACCAAAGGCCTGATGGGCAGTTACCTGGAACCTTCTAATTACGTTTTAGAAATGATTATTCAGGAGGACATGCAAGAGCAGGTCTCTATAGATAGAAATCAGATGGTGGTTGGTGGGGGGCTTGGCTGGAAGGGGCAACATTGGGGGGGAACCTCTTGTTTGGGTGGGAGTTCCACACGTGTAAACACAGTTGTCAGAACTCAAGATACTGATCTCTGAAGATCTGTGCATTCTCCTGCATGTTAATTAGGTTGCAGTCAAACAGTAGGAAGCCCAGGGAAGGGAGGAAACGTGTCCCAGCCATCATGGGCTGTCTTGCAGTGCGGCAGTGGGTGTGCCGGGAGACAGCCCAGGGCCTGTGCCAGCCCGCACCAGGGCTCCTGCCCACAGCCCAAGACGGTCCACAGCAGCCTTGTGAAAGGGCTTATTGAGAGCCGCTGGGCAGAGCCACACGCTACAGGGCAGTTTCTGTGCCGAGCGGCACACGGAGGAAGCTCACTTGGGAGGCCCAGCCCTGCAGCAGCTGCGAGGCCGATGGTGCCGCCAGGGCAGTGGGCAGAGAGCCCGTATACGGGGGCCATCTGCATGTGGGGCCTGGCTTGCGAGCACTGTCAGTGGCATGGCTGCCTCTCATGGGACCTGGTTGACAGACAAAGCTGGGCCGGCCCAGGCCTCCAGCAGTGTCCCTGCACCAGCACCGGCACGGCTGTGGGACACGGAATTGATTTTTCCGCTTCCTCCTCGGGGCTTCTGTGACCTCACCATCCACAGCAGTGTCACTCTGCTGAGTGCATGGCCTTCGGTGGCCTTGCTATTCTCCTGTCTCTTAATAACATGCTGGCTTGTGGCAGCTCTGCACTCTTGGGCTGTATCTCTCAGGCCCAAAATGCGTTCTTTCTCCAATGACTCATTTACGTAAGTCCGAGTGTCTTCTCCTTTGCAAACCAGGGGTTAAGTGTGGAGCCCCTGCAGTGGCACAGCCCTGGGTTTGAATCCAGTTATCCCATTTAGCAGTTGTGTGACTTTGGAGACGTTGTCTTCGTGTCCCAAGCCTCTTTTCCTCATTGTAAAATGGGGACAACAGAGCCCTCCTCAGTGTTGTCGGGAGAACTAAACAAACACGCCTCAAACCTCCCGGGAGTCGGAGACACACCGTGAGAACGGACTGATTGCCGGCTGACGCGGATGTCGTAGGCCAGGAGAGCTTGTAGCTCGTGTCTGACCGTCAGCCGGGGTCAGGGAGGAGTCTCCAGGGCTCGCTGAGGGCTGCTGCTTGCTCTGTGCGTCTGCAGTGGGCAGGATCAGCTTGGGGGACTTCGTTCTTTGTGCAGATGTACCCAGAATGCCTCTAGCCTGCTGCATTAAAAATGGGTCTTGGCTCTGCCTGGCCTGCAACTGACTTGGCATTTTGAGTAGGGCTCAGCCTGGCCCTTGTTTTTGCAGAATTCTGGTGCTTGCTCCTGATTCTGTCTTGCATTCCAACAGCGTTGCTGCTAAAATTTTCCCATTGGCACCACGACCGCGCTGGCCCTGACCGGACGTCTTAGCTGCCCTGGGCACGGCGCCTGCCTTGCGTGCTGGCGCTCTGCTCTAGCTGCGACAGACTCTCTGATTGTGTATTTGGGTGTTTAAATGATTGATCTTGGATTCTTAGCCTTTAAAAGTCTGCATCTTATCTGTTAGTTTGTCTGTGTATTTTAAGCACTTACACTTGCTCTCAACCCATTTGGCTCGACAACAATGAAGCCGGTTTCTATATTTGATTCTGTGTGTTCATTTGGAAGGCGGGAGGTGAGTAACCTTGCTTTTTATAGGCTGGCCGGGGGTCACGGCAGGAAACGGGACATATCTTGGGCAGAGGCAAAAGCATTCTTGTATTGTAGATCCCAGATCCTGCCTCCTAGTCCTTAGCTCCAAATTTCAACTAAGTCACCAATGAAATTTCCAGTACTGTTGTTCTCATGTGATAAATTCCACTCTCTCTTCTACAAGCAGTTTCAGGGTAGGAGTTATTTATCAGAATGCTTCTTGTTCCACATAGTTCATGTGTACTTAAAAAAAACCTCAATGTGCCAAGTACAGCATCGAGCGGGTATTCTGATGAATGAGTCACCACAGGACCCCGGATCAGCTGACGGAGAGCTAACTGTACACATTAGCAGTCATTCTTTCCTGCTTCGCTTTCATTTATTGGGGCTCCTGAGGCTTAAACGGCCCACTTAAAAGGAAGCATGTCCTCCCTTAAATGTAGCCAAAATATTAGATTGATAACCAATATTTATAAAGTAAATCCCAAACAGATTATAAAATAGAATACCAACAATTCTGTCGTGGGAATTCTGTCCTCAAAGCTACACAACACATGCAGGGTCCTGAGGCCACAGCTTGGGGGCAGAAGGTGTCAGGTCCACCTCAGAGCTCAGTCCTTGCTCAGGTGTTTAGCACAGCGGTTGGGATGCCCACATTCCATCCCGGAGTGCCTGGTTTCAGTCCCTGTCCCCTTCCAGTTCCACCTTCTTGCTGGTGTACACCCTAGGAAGCAGAAGATGATGGCTCAAGTACTTGGGTCCCTGCTACTCTTGTGGGAGACCCAAATGGCTTTGGCCTGGCCTGGCTTCAGCCATTGCAGGCTTTTGATGAATGAACCAGTGGGTGGAAGATCTCTTTCTGCCTGACTCTCTTTCTCATTGTCTCTCTGTCTTTCAAATAAATTTTAAAAAAGTAAGTTCAGGCTGGCGCCACAGCTCACTAGGCTAATCCTCTGCCTGCGGCACCAGCACTCCAGGTTCTAGTCCCGATTGGGGCTCCAGTTATGTCCTGGTTGCTCCTCTTCCAGTCCAGCTTTGTGCTGTGGCCCAGGAGGGCAGTGGAGGATGGCCCAAGTGCTTGGGCCCTGCACCCGCATGGGAGACCAGGAGGAAGCACCTGGCTCCTGGCTTCAGATCGGCGCAGCGCACTGGCTGTAGCAGCCATTTGGGGGGTGAACCAACGGAAAAAGGAAGACCTTTAACTCTGTCTCTCTCTTTCACTATCTAACTGCCTGTCAACTTCTAACATTTTGATACAAACAGCCCTAACTTAGTGCAAATTGGGTCCCAAGGGCCATGGGAGCAGCCTGCAACCCCCAGTTATCACACTGTGGAGGTGAGGCTGCCAAAGCTGTGCACTCACCCGGGTCTAGTCCCAGACAGCCCCTGTGTTGCTGCTTCTGTCAAATGAGAGATTCGGGGAGCGTTCGATGATGCTTCTTAGGCCAGCAGCCAATGAAGCAGAGCTTGTGCCTTCGCCCCTCTCATGGTCATCCCAGGGGAAGCCTGATGGCGTGGCCCTGTGCCTTCACCTTCTTTGTCCTGTCCCTGCGGTGCCCTCGGGCTCCTGGCCTCCATCTGTGGTTGTGGGGGATCAGCTCTGGGCTGTTTCCAGCCCACCCATGTCATACACTGACCCAGGGTGACCAGGCAAGGGCTGCGAGGCTCTGTCTGCAGCCTTCTGCCGGTGCCCGATTCTGAATGTCCCCCCAGCGGTCCCCTCCGCTGCCACCTATTCGATGCCCTCCTGGGTCAAGGGGCAGGGTATATCTTCGTCCCTCCTCGATGGTCTCTGATGTCATTTCCTGGGGGTGGGGCAGACGCCAGTCAGAAGCTGCTGACTTCCTGTCCCACCTACTTAGCATCACTGTGGCCTGGAGTCCACATGTGCCACCCCCCGCCCTGGTTTGCCACAAGCCCAAGAGGACACTTCTGGTTCCAGCCCTTGCCTTGCTTCCCTTCCAGATGACAACTTTCTTAGTGGCCTCCTGGGAGGGTCCGTGCAGGCCTGTCCATCTCACCCTGGGCAGCAGCTCCCTGACACATTCTGACAGCACCAGGAAAGGTGATAATGGCTGTTATTTAGTGGCCATGACAGCTCTCCCCTCTTGGCCTGGCATTTGAGGGCACTTCTCCAACTGGCTGCTTCCCCAAGTCTCCCCATGTCACTGACACGGATCTGACGGGCCGCCGCCCCGCTTCTCCAGGACACGCCCCCGCGCCCGGCTCCTCTGTGCTCCTGCTGGCGTTGTCCCCAGTGCCGGGAGCACCTGCCTTCCTCTTGGCCCATCTTGGAGCGCGGCCTGTCGCAGCACACGGCCACCCCGAAGTCCCAGCTCGCGCTGGCTCATGCCACGGGTGTCACTTGCAGGGGACAGTGCCTCGTGTGTTTCTTCTCAACTTCCGCACGTCTGATGTTCACAACGACTTTGTGCGTGTTGTGTATGTGCACGCGCGTGCGTGCACATGAATAAACGAAACGGCTTCCAGGTCTTTAATCAGCTCCTTGTCATCAACGTTCCAGCGAGAAGAGAGCTGAGCAAGTTCTGAAAACAGCCTTTGTGTGTGTGTGTCTGTGTGTCTGTGTGTCTGTGTGTGTGTGAACTCGAGGATTCCAGACCTTCCAACAGAAAATGAGTCTTGTCAGTTTTTGCGAGGAGTTTTGGCCTGAAGGGAAAATGGGAGAAACATTAAAATTTGTATTTATTTTAAACTCAGTGAGTAATGCATGAAACATTTCTGCTGGGGAAGGGAGCTCAGCTGGAGGAACTAAGGCTCCGAGCGAGGGCCGCCTGAGAGAACGCGCCGTGATGGGGCCCGCTTCCTACACCTGCAGGGTCAGCGCGGCAGCCGTGAGCCACGTGTGGCTACGGGGCACTTCACTTGTGGCTCGCGTGCCTGAGAAACTGGAGTCTTGAATTTTATATTTGATTCTGTGTGGGAGAGAGCGCGCTCCCGTGTACTGGTTCGCTTCCCAAATGTCCACAACAGCTGGGGCTGGACCAGGCTGAAGCCGGGAGCCAGGAACGCAATCCAGGTTTCCCACTTGGGTGGCAGGGACCCAACTACCTGAGTCATTGCCTGCTGCCTCGTAGGGGCTGCATTAGCAGGAAGCTAGAGTTGGGACCCAGAGCCGGGACTCAAACCCAGCGACTCCCCAATGTGGGATGCAGGCGTCATGTGCTAGGTCAAATGCCTACCCCACCACCACCACCAAAACTGGATTTTTAATCTTATTTAAAAATCTTACTTAAATGGTTACAAGTGGCAGCAGCTACCATACTGGGTGATGCAGCTCAATTCCCACATCCCCTCCTCCTGACGTCCCTACCCCCAGCTCCAGTGTCCTTGCACGTGCCTGTGAGGACCCTCACTGTGCTGTGGGCGACCCCAGGTCTCCTGTGTGCATGTACACTGTGTTTTACCTATGCTGACATACACACCACATTTGTGGACCACGCATGTTCTCATGCCATACACAACATGCATGTTCCCCAGGTGCCCTTTGGATGGGCTCTGTGTCTGGAGAGCTGTCTGGGGCGGTGCTCACAGCTCGGCTTTGTTCACTTCGGCGGCTGCACGGTGGCCTTCGTGTGGCTGTGCCCAGGTCTATGCAGTCAGTCCTCCGCTGAGCATTTAGGATGCTTCCAAACGACACCCCCGAAGCTGTCTCCGACCTGCTGCCCGGTGCGCGTGAGCTGGTGCAGAAGCAGAGCCGTGGGGTTTCGGAGCCGCGGGGAGGAAGTGTCAGTGTTCCCTCTCGGTGGCCCTGGCCCGAGGCCACCGTGGGGGAGCCGTTCCTGGTTTTATAGAAAGCTGGCAGCTTTGTCCCGCTCTGATCTCTGTTTTCACTCCGCATGCCGAGAGGCTGAAACCTAGATTTTTATCAGACAGGCTGCCACGAGCGCTGAGAACACGCAGACATTAATAACCATCTGAAGACTGAGGACGGCAGGCAGCAGCAGCCGTCATCTGTGGGCTGAGCCGAGTGCGCACGGGGAGAAGCTGGAATGCTCAGTGCCTCGCTTTAGAAGCCGGGCTCCACCGCCTGGGCTCACGACACCATCTTGGGGCGCGGGGCTCCGAGAACAGGGCTTCAAGTCCCGCAGATGTGATAACCCCGGAATATTAGGAGTTGAGCAAAGAGTGGAACAGATTCGCGGTTTGATCTGCACCGAGCCCCTTTCTGAATGGGCATAGCAGGGAAACTGGTGCCAATTAAAGTGACAGGAGGAGGAGAAGCTGTCACTCACTTCCGGTGGCCATAGTGCGTCTCATCCAGGGCTTTTGGTTCTTGTCCTCTCCCAGTTTCACAGCATGCTGAAATTAAGATCATTAAAGGTTCCACACCAGGGTTTTGTCCCCAGCGATGATCGGGGGCTTGTGCTGGTTTAAAAATTCAATATTGGAGGAATTGCTGATGGCTGAGCTGAGATTAAAAAGCAGAGGAGGAAAGTGGAGAACAGCAGGTAGCATCCTTGCAGTTAGCAGTGTCCCTCCGGCAGCCGGGCGCCCCCGAGGTTTGGCAGGAACGGCCATTGTCCAACAGAGGAGAGGAGAGAGGAGAGCAAGTAGAGCAGGTGCAGGAAGCAGAGGCTCACGGGGATGGACGCTGGCAGTGAGGCAGGCGGACAGGCCGTGAGGGTTCACACGCAGAACGGGGGGATTGGTGACCACCCAGCTTTACAAGAGGTGACAACAAAGGAGAAAACGCACCACGCGTTCATTCTCCACCAGCCCACACTGTCCTCCCTCCTGCACACCCCTAATTTAATAGCATTTCCACATAGTTAGCACCTGTGTAGTGTAATCTAGTCCCCAGTTTGCAAGGGATGGGTTCCAAGATACCTGGGAGAGGCCTGAAACTACAGTTGGTACTAAGCCCTAGAAGAGTATGTCCCATGTTTTATCCTGGGCACGTGCACCTGTGGTAAAACTTAATTTCTGAATTAGGCACATCGCTTAAGATTAACAGCAACCAGTACGGAACAGGACAGGTGTGGTAGAAGGGCCAGCATCGACACTCTTGCTCTTGGGGCCGTTGTTAAGTAAATCATAGCTGCACACAAGCACCTACCTACATGGTCAGACTGATGACCGAGACGGCTACTAAGTGAGCAGCAGGTGGGTGCTGCATACAGCATGGATGCACTGGACAAAGCGATGATTTACATCCTGGGAGGGCGCAGGACAGCCCCGTTTAAAACCTGTGAGTCGTGTTTTTCTGGAATTTTCTATTAGGATCATGGTTGACCACAGGGAAGAGAAACTGTGGAAAGTGAAGCTGCAGCTATGGGGGGCCACTGTGTACCTTTCTCATTAAATCCTCCGTCCCAGGGACTTTCCCAGGTTGTCTTCAAAACTCTGCCGGTGCAGCTTGCACTCGAATTATTTCTTCAGATGCATTTCGGCCAGCTGGTCGAGCTTCACTCCTTTGCTTGTAGACATCGTGGCAAAGCCTTTTCTGTGCGTGTAGTGAGCAGACACCCAAACCCAGAGTGGCAGCGATGCCGGGAGGCCCTCTCCACGCTGACTGCGCATTCTGAGGCAGTTCTCACCGACTGGCCCCGATCTGCCGCCTTCCTGGGGCGGACCGCGCACGCCGCCCCTCTGGTGACGTGGTCTTCTGGGTCCTGTCGTTCCGCCCATCCCAGCTCCCGGGGCGGGAGGGGCTGAGAAGCACCGCCGCAGTCGGGTTTCCCCGTCTTCGCCTCTAGTTCTGAGCGTTTGGCTTCTTGCGCCCTGTGCTGTCGGCCGTGGCTGTGGGTGGTTCTTGTTCGGCTTGGGCCCATCTGGCCTCGCCTTTCTGCTGTCTCTCGCCACCCCCTCCCCAGCTCTGGCCCTGATCTTCTAAGCCTTGGTTCCTGCTCCTTTTTCTGTAGGATCTTCTCTCTTCTTTCCCATCTAAGCTTGCCTTCCTCCAGCCAGACTCTGGATTACTCTTCCTAAGACCCTCTTGCTCCTCTTCCCCAAGGCCCTTGGGTGACTCCTCCTGCCTACCAGGTAGAGGCCCGGTCCCTTACCTGGGCAGCCACAGCCATAGCGCAGGGCTGGGACAGCCTGTCTGAGCGCACATGGTTCTCAGTCGCTCACAGGGGCTGAGCTCCGGGACACGCTGTTGGCTGTGCCGTAGCAGACAGAGCAGTGTCTCCATTACGATGCGCGTCCTCTTGGGAGTGACAACATTGAGGATTGTTCTTTAAAACCTGGCTTGTGCGAATGCCGTTGAAGCTGTTCGGCAGTCTTCCCGTGTGCCCACTGTTCTGAGAAGAGCTGGGTGCTGGGTGCCAGCAAGGAGCTCCCGGGCAAGTTCAGGTCCAAAGCCGCTGCCGGGGTGGGGGGGGCCCTGTGCACGTTGGTTTTCCTTGCCTGAACTTCACCCCTCCCCACCCTTCCCCTGCTGGGCCCATGTCCCCGAGGCTCTGCCTACATTCTGCCTCCCTGGGAAAAGAGCATGAGGTGCACACACCCTCGCTCCAGCCTCCGTGACGGACGTGTCTTGTGAGAGACATCGTACCCAGTGCCACTTGTGTTCTGCGTATCAACTGTGCCTGTTCTCTCCAGCTACACCGGAAGAGCCTGACAACCACTCCGCAGGCCTTGTTAACATTTCATCTCCCCGGTTAGCCCCTGGCACCGTGGGGACCCGTGATGGGCTCAGTGTTTGTCAGAGAACCTCATTACGCTCTCCAGCTGTGGGGCTGAGGGATGGTGGGAGAGGCCCTGGTGTGATGCTGGCTCGGTCACCCCCTCTAAAAGGAAACATCTCCATCACCATAATATGCTGACTATGAAAGAAACTGTTGAGGCAGGTGCTGTGGCGTAGCGGGTACAGCCACCGCCTGCAGTGCCAGCATCTCATATAGGTGCTGGTTTGAGTCCTGGCTGCTCCACTTCCAATCCAGCTCCCTGCTAATGCGCCTGGGAAAGTAGTGGAAGATGGCCCAAGTGCTTGGACCCCTGCACCCATGTGGGAGACTGGAAGAGGCTCCTGACTTTGGTTTGGTCCAGCTCTGGCCATTGTGGCCTTTTTTGGGGAGTGAACCAGTGGGTGGAATCAATCGATCTCTCTCTCTCTTTCTCTCTTTCTCTGCACCTCTGCCTTTCAAATAAGTAAATCTTAAAAAAAAAAAAATAGAGAAAAGAAACTTAAATTTGAAATACAGAGTCCTATGTAGTTACCAAGAAGCGCACAGAGAGATCCCAGCTACCCTTCACCCGGCCGCCTCCAGTGTTCATGTCCACGTAACTGTGGTTCATTAACGCCGGGAGCTTGGCATTAGAGCAATCCTCCACGCTGGTCCAGGTTTCACAAATTACACGTGACTCTGAAAAAAAATAACGCAGCCTGGAAGTGGCCTTCTTCTGCCTGAGCACGTGCTGTGCCCGTCCCTGCCTGAGGCATCTGCTCTGACTGCAAATCCGTGTGTGCACCGTGGCTCTCGGGCCGCAGGGCCTGCCCCACGCTGCTCCTGGCTCCCCGGCGACCGTGGGCACGTCATGGCGCCTCTTTGAGCTTTGCTTTGCTTGTCTGCGCCCTGACGGTACTAACCTCGGGGGATTAACGTAAAGTGCCCAAGTTAGGCACATAAGTGATGGACACGCAGGAAGCGTCGGCATCTTCTCCCTGCGTGGACAGCAGAGACTTCCGATACTGTTTAAAATTAGTCTCCTCGGACACCTTCCCATCCCGTCCCCAGTTTCCTGAGCAGCCCCGTTTCTGTGCGTGGATTGCATTTCATTGGTGTGAGGCTGAGGACGCATTCCACGGGCCTGGCAAATACATTCTTGTTTCTATTTTGATTTTGATCTGGCAGCAGGACGAGACGCCCCCGGGCAGAGACCTCAGTTCTTTGATTTTTACAAGTCAAACAAGAGCCTAGGTTTGATGCCGCTTGCAAAAGCAAGAGCAGCCTTACCTTCCGCAACGATTCAATGAAGGAGTGTACAGTACCTGGCGTGGAGAAACTCAAGACGCGTTTGTGTGGCTGCTGGTGCTGGTCCTGGTCCTGCCCCTCCGCTCCTGTGCCCACACAGAGCCCCATCTTTGGGCTTCTCCAGGGCAATGATCCGTGTCTCTTCGCACTCCTGGCACAGTCAGAAAGTGAAGACGGAAGGCTTCCAGGGCCAGTCTGGCCTTGTCATTGCATTTTTCCCACCAGGCCTTCTTTTCCCTAAGCTGGGAGAGATTGAAATGATAATTATCACAGCAACACTGGTGATGGTGGAGGTGGTGGTGATGGGGATGGGGGTGGTGATAAGGAGAATGGCAACGGTGAAAGAGCAGTGCTGGGCCGGCGCCGCAGCTCACTAGGCTAATCCTCCGCCTGCGGCGCCGGCACCCTGGGTTCTAGTCCCGGTTAGGGTGCCAGATTCTGTCCCGGTTGCTCCTCTTCCAGTCCAGCTCTCTGCTGTGGCCCAGGAAGGCAGTGGAGGATGGCCCAAGTGCTTGGGTCCTCACCCGCATGGGAGACCAGGAGGAAGCACCTGGCTCCTGGCTTCAGATTGGCGCAGTGCGCCGGCCATAGTGGCCATTTTTGGGGTGAACCAATGGAAAGGAAGACCTTTCTCTCTCTCTCTCACTGTCTAAATCTGCCTGTTTAAAAAAACTGCTTACTGTGTGCCTGGAACATTTCTAAGAATGGCCCCAGTGTAGGGGGCCGGCGCTGTGGCACAGTAGGTTAAAGACAAGGCCTATAGCGCCGACATTCCATGTGGGTGCCAGTTCGAGTCTTGGTTGCTCCATTTCCCATCCAGCTCCCTGCTAATGCACCTGAGAAAGCAGCAGAAGGTGGCCCAAGTGCTTTGGCTTTTTAGCCCGGTCATTAACGACCATTTTGGGAGTGAACCAGTGGATAGAAGCTCTCCTCTATCTGTGTCTCCTCTCTCTCTCTGTAACTCTGCTTTTCAAGTAAACAGATAAATATTTTTAAAAAGAACACCCCCAGGGTTACATTATCTGGTCGTCACCATCGCCCTAGACTTCCTTATTCCCATTTTGCAGACGAGTAGGCCAAGGCGCATGAGAGCGTGAGTGGTTTGCCTAAGTGTGTACAGCTCTAGCTCTGGGGTTTGAAGCCAGGCTGTCTGGCTCTTGAAAATGGCTGAGATAAATTTTTCCTACTGTCAGTGGTCCCAAGAGGCAGAGAATGGAAAAACATTCTGTTTATTTTTGTCTGTTATTTGCTTGGAGAGAGAGAGATCCATGCCTCGGGAGGCCTACAGTTAATAAAGAATAAAGCCCTGACATCAGATCAATCAGACACATTTCTCTCTCTCTAAGTCCCCGTCCTCAATTAAGGTGGCAATCAGATTAACCAAGGTGGGCCACCAGGCCGCGAGGAGCCGCAGAAGGTCAGGTTTATCTGAGACTTCAGACAGGTCCCACCCCCCCGGCTCCCCGGGGGAGAATTCAGCTGCGGCTTCACTCCACTTCCAGTAGGGTCTGTCTGGAAACTCGGACCCTGCCCTTCCCCACACTCATTTTCTTCCCTACCTCCTCTTGGTCTCCTCGATCCTGAGTCTTCCCCGGATGACAAGAGACAGGCCCTGGCCCCCGCAGACCCTCCCGCCGCCGCCCGCCAGCCCTGCAGCCCCACGCGCACTCTGTGTCCTTATCGCTGATCGGCCGGGCCGGGCTCCGCCTGTAGGAGCCCCAGCTCTGATCACCCAGGGCGATTGCGGGCTCACTCGGAATCATGGAAACAAACACACACAAAGGGGGTGATGCAGTAAATCAGGGTCCGGTCGAAAGGTGGAATAAGAAGTAGCTGTTGAAGTGAAACAGATGTAGTCGGAAGCTAAGGGCTCGCAGTGCAAGAAGAACATGGGTTTCAACACTCTCCTGTAGGCTCCCAACGTGGTTTGTTTTCAAAGTGTGCGTACACACACACACTAAAGCTAGAACAAGTAGACCAAGGGTTTAGTGGCTACCTCCAAGTAATGTGATTCTGTGATGTTTATATCCTTTATTCCCCCCCATATTTTACGAATTTATTCCCATGAGCATGTATTCCTTCTAAAAGCAGAAGCAAGGAAAAAGGGAAAAAAGAGAAGAGGGAACATTTTTTTAATTTCTTAAGCTTGTCCTTGTAGAGGGCTGTTGATTTTTTGCATCTTGAATTTGCCAGTACTTACCGGGTCTCTCTGCCCCTAAGGATGTAGCTCAGGTCTCACCTCTTCCAGGAAGCCTTCCTGGACTCATCAAAGATGTCTTCAGTTCATGGACTCCTGGTTCTCATTTGGGCACATCATCAACTTGAAGCGTGTGAGGGTCTCACGCAGAGCTTGTATATTTTAAACTCTCTTCTCTTCACACAGCACCCAGTGACTGCTGCACAAACTGCCGGATCCCGTTGGCTTCAGTTGGGCGAGGCTGGGTCCTCCGGGGAGGCTCTGGAGTTGGACTTCTCTTCCCTCTCTCTTCTCTCTCTCTCTCTCTCTCTCTCTCTCTCTGTTTTGTTCCCATTTCCTGCAATTCACTTGAAAGGGGTGTCTGTGCCATTAGCCCTGGAGTGAAATTTGCTGTCAGTTGTTTACAAAGCATTCCAGCGGCTTTGGCAGGGATGATCGGGCCAGCCCTTGTCTTTACAAGAAGATTGTAAAGCTAAGAAAATAAATATGAACTATTTTGGGCAAAAAGACATTTTTCTTGGTGAATGGGGATAATGGAGTTGATGTTTATACAAAGGAAGCCAAGGGCCAAGGGGAGGCGGTGACTTCCCTGGGTCTCACGCTGATCAAAGCCAGGTGAGCCTGCACATGGTGCCGGCTTCCCTGGAGTCCCGCTGGGCCTGGGCTACTGTACTGGGCTCAGGAGGAAGAGGAGCCAGAGGCATTTACAGTTGATCGGGGGTGGGGGCAGGTGAGTCCACTTGAAACAGCCGAGGGGAAGGATTGGTAAGGAAATACAGTGCACAGGACGGGCGGGGTTCTTGGACGGCCTCCAGGGAGCCACAGCAGGTGTCAGGTTGAAAGGTCGGCCTTGAAAGGCGGTGATGAGCCAGGCAGGCGGCCCGGCTGTGCAGCCGGCTGACTCAAAGCTACACGCGGAGGACACTGAAGCTGGGGGACTGGCCGGGTGGGGGGTGGGGGGGTAAGACCAGATGTCAAGTGTGGAGGAGGCGTCCGGCCTGGTGGCTGTGGCAGAGGAGAGCTTGGGATGAACTTGAGAAATGGCTGGGCTGTGTTTCAGGGAGGGCGATGCGAGCTTCCGGGAGGGCTCGTGTGCAGCCGCGGGACAGAGCCCCTAACCCTCGGCCTGGTGCTTTGCACGTAGCAGGTGGTAAACCCTGGACTTTTCCAGACTCTGGAGACGAGCACCAGGAGGGCTGGGGCAGGTGAAGTAGGGGCAGGCATCTAAAGCGAGCGGCACGTCACCTCGGGGGCTGCGCACGAGGCTGGGTCGGTAGCGGGGCACTGTCGAAAAGCTTCCCGGCTTGGTGCTGCAGACTCTGTTTGAAACCAGCAGTTGCGCTGGGTCGTGGGGGAGCTCTGATGGAGGTGACAGACCAGCCAAGGGAACAGCACCAGGCAAGCGGAGCCAAGGAGCGGCAGGGCTGCTACGTGCAGGCGTCACAGGGCCGCCGCCACGCTCTCCCTTGCTGGCTGCCCAGGGCTGCTTGCACTGGCCATACGCCCAGTCCCAGAGAGGGGCTTCAAACACTTCTGCCCGTCCTCAGGTGGCCGGGCAAGTCTGCTGAGCAGGACACACCGGAGGTTCTGGCGCGGCTGGGATGAGGCAGGCAAGATACATGCACCCTGGCCCCTGGGAGCCGGCCCTGGGACAGGCCAGCTCCCTGTTGCAGGAACGGGAGCCCAGGGTTCCTCTGTAGAAGCACCCCCCACCAGGGGCCCCTGGGAGCTCCACGTGGCCAGCGCCTGGAGGCCTTTGTGACTTTGAGATTCCTGATTGCCGTCTGCTTGGCCACACAGTCACAGATTGGCCCCCGTCCTGGTCCTGAGATGCCGTGCGTGGGGTCAGACGAGTTTCTGTTCCCAAGGAGACAGCAGTCAAGGGAGGGAGATTGTGTAGACGCCTGCACCTAAGACTGTGTAGACACCTCCAGTTGTTTCGCAAAGTTTGTTTCATCACCGACCGCCGGGCTTCATGGCGCTAAAAGCCTTCGCAGTGGCGTGGATTTATAAAACGCACCACGCCACAGAGCTCGGTGTTTTTCCATTTTGCCAGATTGGTAGGGTCTGGCAAGTGAGACCCGCAAACAGGATGCCCTCATGCCCAGCCCAACCCTAAAAGGCTGGCGTTCAGAGGCCCTGGCACACCGCGTTAAAGATGCATTTTGGAATGTCTGTCAATCTGTCTAGTCCCCCACAGGGAGCAGAGGGTCGAGGCAGGTGGGAGCCAATGAGAGCTGGCCGGGGAGGCGGGACTGCCCTGCAATGCCATGTCCGTCTCCCAGGACACTCAGACTCCTGGGCTGCAGGAGGCAAGGGTTTTTGGTTTTTTGCATTAGTTTTTGCTTGTTTTCACTTTTATGTATTTGAGAAGCAGAGGGGGAGAAGGAGATAGAGATCTTCCATCCGCCAGTTTACTCTCCAAGTGGAGGCACCAGCTGGGCATGGGCCAGGCCAATGCCAGGAGCCTGGAACTCCATCCGGGTGTCCCACATGCGTGGCAGGGGCCTGAGGACTTGAGTCATCACCTGCTGCCTCCCAGGGTGCACAGTAGCAGGAGGCTGGAATCCAAAGTAGGGCTGTGACTCCAGCCCAGGCACTCTGCTACGGGATGCGGGCGTGCTAAGCTGTGTCTTAAGGGCTGTACCAAACTCTCACCCCTGGGAGTGGATTTGAGAGGCCTTGGGGGAGGGCGGGCGGGAGGGAGACCACAGCTGCCCTTTGTGTTAGCCCGCGCACAAAGCCTCACCCCTCCAACAGTGTCGACCGCTGTGTCTGCCTCGCACTTGCCGGTCTGCTGGTGCCCCAGCGAAGACAGGAGGTGAGAGCGGCCAGTGTCCTGACCCCCAGGCTTGGGAAGCAGTGGGAGACACCATCCCTGGGGAAGGCAGAGGCGCTGGCCCTCCGAGGGAGGGACCTGCCCCCTGTCTGGGCTCACTTTCCCGCAGGCTTCACTGGCCCCTAGGCCTCAGCCTGACTGGTGGGCTTCACTCACGGGTTTCTTATTCCTGTTGCAGGTGTGTGCGGCTGCTGTGGGGCCCTGCGCCCCAGGTACAAAAGGCTGGTTGACAACATCTTCCCCGAGGATCCCGAGGTGGGTCACATCCCTATCTCACACCCCACTCCCGCCCTCTGGGCTGCTCGGGGCCTTCCCAGACAAGTGGGAACCCCGGCCACAGCCCGGGGCGGTGGTGAGAGGTTGCTGGGAAGTGGAGGCAGAGGGCACCTGTGTCTCTGAAGTCGGGATCTGCGTGCTTTGGCCCCTGCTGCATAACCGGGGCGTCTGTCCCACCCCCGCCCGGGTGACAGCTCCTGAGCCGCTGACTTGAGGGAGGTGTCTCTCTGCGGGTAGGGGGTGCATTCCCCTGTCTCGGGCTGGGCCCAGGAGCCTGAGCTCTCTCCCTGCTCCCTCTGCCATTTGCCAGAGGCTTGGGTGTCCACACACAGGAGGCGTAGCTCCTTGATGTCCAGGCCACCGCCCAGGTGGTATTACAGGTTGTGGTCTAGAAACGGGAGCCAATGCACTCGACTTGCTCTCTGGGAATCTTCCTGGTGGGCAGTTGGAGGTTTGCATTCCCAGCATCCTCTGGAGAACTCCCCGGGAGCTGCAGAGCTGCCTTCTCCCTGCCCGTGTCTCGGTGCTGGAGTTGCTGTTAAGGACACCGTGTCATTCATTCACACACACACAGACACATGTGCATGTACATATGTGCACACAGAATCACACCCGTAAACACACTTCTGTCACTTCCTGTCTTACCTGTGCACACTGGGAGCCGGATGGTGAGTTCGTAGAGTCCAGGCCCCCCTGCCTAAACCCCACAGTGTCCCTGATACACAGCATGTTGTCTGGCGTGTGCACAAGGCCCTCTACAGATACTGATGCTTTAAAAAGATTTATTTACTTATTTATTTGAAAAATGAAGTGACAGAGAGAGAGGGAAAGACAGAGAGATTCACCCCCTAAATGTGTGCAGCGGCTAGGGCTGGGCCAGTCTGGAGCCAGGAGCTCAGAACTCTGTCCTGGTCTCCTGCATGGGTGCAGGGGACCAAGCACTACTTGGGCCATTATCTGCCGCCTTCCCAGGCCATGAGCAGGGAGCTGGATTGGAAGGGAACAGCTGAGACTTGAACCAGCGCTCATATGAGACGCTGGTGCTGCAGGCAGTGGCTCAACCCACTGGACCACGACACCAGCCCCTATTAATACTGGTTGAGTTGAGTCGTTCACCTCCAGAATTGTCCCCTTACAGGATGGCCTGGTGAAGACCAACATGGAGAAGCTGACCTTTTACGCGCTCTCAGCTCCAGAGAAGCTGGATCGCATTGGCGCCTACCTCTCTGAGAGGCTCATCCGGGACGTGGGCCGCCATCGATACGGGTAAGCCAGCTGGGAAAGGGGGAGCGAGACTTTCGGCAGCTGTGCTTCGACTTGGGCAAGCGAGGGTCCCTTGAGGAGGTGAGAGCAGAGGGCATCGCCATGCAGAGCGGGAGAACAGAGCTGGGCAGGGGCGAGGGCTGGGCGCGCCCTCCCAAAGGTGGGGTCTGATGCCGGCTTCCAGGGAGCAGTCCTGTGGCAGCCACTCACCCTCTGTGTCCCTAAACGACAGCCTCACTCACAGACTCTGGGGCCTTAAGGAGATCAGTGCAGCCCAGAAGGTGCCGTTATTCTCCTTGGACGTATCGTGGCCCCCATCGACTCACAGTAAGGAGGAGCCAGCTGGGCTGCGAGAGGAGGCGGGGTTGGGGCAGCCCGCCATTAGAAACCCGCTGAGCAGGAAGGCTTTCCATGCGTAGGAGAACACATTTTCAGGGAAATGATCCATGGTTGTAGCTGTTTAAAAACTGTAATATTTCAGTGTCAGAAAAGAAAAAATAAAAATATGAAAGACAAGCACAAAAATAAGTATCTTCAAAAAACAGAGGCAGAAGACTCAGGTTCTTAGGTTAGAAGCTGATAGCAGATAGGAGAGATGGGGTCAGGAGACTGAGGTGCTAGAATGTTGAGGAGGGGCGGGGGCCGTGGCACAGTGGGTTGACCTGCTGCTTCCGAGGCCTGCATCCCATCTTAGAGCACCAGTGTGAGTCCTGGCTGCTCCACTTCTGATCCAGATTCCCGCTAATGCTCCTGGGAAAGACAGTGAATGATGGCCCAAGGAATTAGGGCCCTGGCATCCTCTGGGGAGCCTTGGATGGAGTTCCAGGCTCCTGGCTTCGGCCTGGCCCGGGCTCGGCTGTTGTAGTCATTTAGAGAGTGAAGCAGCAGATGCATGAGCTCTCTCACTCCTCCTTTCTCTGTCACTCTGCCTTTCAAATAAATGCATTTTAAAAAAAGCAAGGGTCTTGGTGGCAGTGGTGGCATCGTGACACAGCTATGCAAGCATCCATATGAGAGTGCCAGTTTGAGTGTCAGCTGATTCTGCTTCTGATCCAGCTTCCTGCTAATGTGCCTGGGAAAGCAGCAGATGATGGCCAAGGCTTGGGTCCCTACCGTCCCTGTGGGAGACCCGGATGGAGTTCTGGACTCCTGGATTTGGCCTGGCCCAGCCCTGGCTCTTGTGGGCTTTTGGGGGTGAAGCAGCAGATGGAAGATATCTCTCTGTCTCTCTCAGTCACTCTGCCTTTCGAATAGATAATTAACTAAATCTTTTTAAAAAATCAAAAACAAAGATTGAGGCAAGGCTCATAACTAAACAACTTACAGAAGAAGAGACTGATCTTGTTTCAAGCACAGGATAAAGCAAACTCATGATCAAACATGTATATTGAAATACTAACATATGATCTTAAATCAATGTAAAAGTAAATACAATTTCCAATATTAACCAAGGATGGCAAAAGTAGGAGGCATTCTCACACTGTTCTAGAAAGAGTGCCACGAGGTTGAAACTTGTTAGAAGGTGACTTTGAGATACATGTCAAGAGCTTCTGAAACACTTATGCCTTTTGACCCAGTAATTCAATTTCTATTCACCCATCCCGAGGACTCAATCTTAAACATACTCTACCTATACATATGGAATTGTTCACTCTGATTTTTTCTTATAATAATGAAAAAGTAGGAATAACTTAAATGTCTATTGAGAAGAGTTCAGTAATTATGGTACCTGTCACTGGGTACAACGTATGTTATCTAGTCAGTAAGAATGATGTTTATAAAGATCCTTTCCATATAATATGGAAACCCCCTTAGCCAAGTGAAACACAGAATACAGAATGATGTACACAGTTCATGGGAAGTTCATGGAAAATGCATTATTATGAAAAAATTATACATGAATTTCAAAAAATAAACTTATCCTTTAATTCCATTTTCCACAGTTTTTATCTAAGGCTTCTCATTTACAATCAAGTTTAAAAATAAAAAATAAACAAAAAAACTCAATGGCTAGGAAACATGGTAAAAACTCATATACCAGTATGTTAAGAATATTTTGTGAGCAGTGTAGCTGGGGTTTTGTTTTCTGTCCACTTCCTCTCTCTGTTCCCTACCAAGCATGTGTTGCTTCCACAGTAAAATGAGCCACATACAGGGCACGTGGTGTTCGGAGCACCTGCTGGTGCCGCTGGGGGCCAGGGAGTAGATCCAGGGAGCTGTTGGTTTCCTCTCCACAGTTTTTCCTGTCCCCTCCACCCCTGCGGCTGCCTTGCCCCTCGTTCTCCTGGGTCAGCCCCTGCTCTCTCTCAGTTCAGGTTGTAGCTCAGCCTCAGAGCTTGTCTCCCTGCGTCCCATCTTTGCTGTGGTTAATAATGGTAGACACGGGGCCAGCGTTGTGGCACAGCAGGTAAAGCTGTCACCTGTAGTGCTGGTGTCCCATGTGGGCACTGGTTCTAGTCCCGGCTGCTCCACTTCTAATCTAGCTCTCTGCTAATGGCCTGAGAGGGCAGCAGTGGGTGACCCAAGTGCTTGGGCCCCTGCACCCACACGGGAGACCTGGAAGAGGCTCCTGGCTTTGACCTGGCCCAGCCCTGGCAGCTGTAGCCATTTAGGGAGCGAACCAGCGGATGGAAGAGTCTCTCTCCCTCTCTCTCTCTCTCTCTCTGTCTTCCTCTCTCTGTAACTCTGCCTTTCAAATAAATAAATAAATAAATAAATCTTGTTAAAAATGATAACGGTAGACATGCTCTTCAGCACCGTGTTAGTCAGCTTTTCATTGCTACACATGAAATTCCCGAGAGAAGCTACCAAGGACGGAAGACGGTTCACTTCGACTCCTGCTTCTGGAGGGTCAGAGGCCAAGGCTGGGCAGCCCCCTTGTTCTGGCATCTGGTGAGGGCTGTGGATGATGGGACAAGGGCAGAGGAGGGATCCCACAGCGAGCCAGGAGGCGCACTCGTCCTCCATGTCCATGTGTCTCCCAGTCACCGAGATCTGATCCAGTCTAAGCATTTCCCGAGGCCCCTCTTTCAGACACGTGACTGAGCTGAGTCTTGTATCCATTCATCCTTTACATTAACGTAAGACCTGAGAGCTCAGTCTCCCAACTCGTGGGCTTTGGGGGAGCGTCCAGCTAATATGCAAACTCAAACAAGTTCCTCAGCTTGACTTCTGGAATGTTCTACAGCCAAGCCCATCGTGTCTGCTGTAGACCCATCCAAACTGGTTGATGACCTCCTGGCTCCCTCCCTCTGGGCCTCATGCCTCTTTGAGGGTTTCTGTTGCCTTAACTCTCCCCCTCTCTGGAAGGCTCCCCAGCCCCATCCAAGATCCCCTCCTGGTGAGGAAGATGGAGTGAGCCTGGAACCAGGGTGAGAAGATTTGCAATGGTGCAAAGGCCCAGAAATCTACCCCTGGTGTACAAGCAGGACCCAAGCCAGAACATTTCTATGGTCATTTCATAACATTTGGTTACCTACTCGCAAAAAGGGACATAAACATCGTACATGCTAATTATTTAAAGGGACTTGACATATCATAAAGTATACTCAAGCAAGCGAAGAACGACTTTATCCTTGATTGAACCTAGAACGAAAATGCACGCCATAGCATTAAACATTTACTACTCCTCGGGGCTGCCTCCTCCACAGCGATGGCTCCATCAGTAAAAGCGTCTCCGAGCCGGCAGAGCCACTAGAATCTTTCTACTGCCCTGAGAGCCGCATCTCAAAACTGCGCCATCCTGTCAAAAATAGCCAGTGCAGCGCCTAAGTGTTTAAAGCCCGAGGGCCTCGTAGATCATGACCACTGGAGAGGAGAAACCTGTTAATCTGAGCTCTCGCCCTCCCCTCCTCGTATCACACACATCATTGTCGTTTTCCTCGTCACTGACGGCAGCTTTGGAAAAGTCCGTGTGCTCAAACCCTATCATGGGACCACATGGCCTTGAACCTCGGATGTGGGACCCAGTGGCACCCCTTTCACGCTACCGCCTCCCTGCATCGCTGCCCCAATCCAGCTGTACGTGGGCTCCGGTCGGTGGATGTCCTGGGTGTGGGGCGATCGCCAGTGCAGGCAGAGGTGAATTCCAGGGGGCGTGCGTTAGTGTGGACTCTGATGGACAGCCCTGGTTCTTCGTTTTCTTCCTCTTACATGTCCTTTGCAGGGCTCCCCTGGAAACAGGAAAGCGGGGACAGAAGTGGAAGTGCAGGGGGAGACTCAGGGTCAGTGGACAGGCCCCCTGACGCTGCCGGGGTACAGAAGGCCGTGTTAGACTGTGGGGGTCCCCGAGGCCTGAGCCCTTGGGGCAGGGGCACCCAAGCTGAAGGGTTAAGTCACTGCTACCTGAGGACCCTGGCCCTGGAGCTGACCTTAAGCCTGGCAGAAGGACAGGCCGACTCCTCCCAGATGAAGGGGCCACCGCCCCTTCCCCACCTGAGGTCAGCCCCCTCTCCCCACTTCCAGACTGTCCGGGAGCGGGCTGACCAAACACATTCAAGATGCCCAGAACAGGAGGCCCTTTGCCAAGGCCATTGCCCTTGGAGTGATTCTTGGGCAGTGCTGACCCTGTTCAAGCTGCCTCCTCTTCCTGCCTGCCGGTCCCGGTCCCTGACCCTGACCCTGCCTTTCCTCTCCAGCTGAGTCTGGTGTCCCCACTTTATACCCCGCTCCCCGCTCCCCGGAGGCCCAGCACCTTGGCCACGCCCCAAGACAACGCCCCGTCACCCTAGGCCCTGTGTGTTTTCCTCAATTGCTGTAACTCGCTGCCTGCCTTGGTCCCTGACCCCGACTTCTCCCTGTTGTAGCCCACCTGGTACCCCATCCTGGCCTCTGCTGCTGGGACCCCAGCCCATCCCAGATCCCCCTGGGTTCTCCCCTCGTCGCCTTCAGGGGCCCTTGCTTGTCACCTGCTCCTGGGGTCTGGAACCTGCTCTGGCCTCCCCCTGGGCCCCTCCTGCACCAATTCCCAGTTAGGCCACTTCAGATTCCCAGGCCTGCTATTACTCAAAGTGCTTCCAGGACCCTGGCCCCAGATCCGGCCTCTGCTGAGAGGAACCTTCTGGCTGGAGCTCTGCTGAGTGCCCATCACCCTCAGAGCCCTGCGTCCTGTTCCTTCTGAGAGCGTAGGCCAAGCAGGACAGCCGTGGGGAGCACTGGACAAGGGGTTCCCAGGTCTCATCGACTTCAGGTTTCTCAGATACTTTGAAGAGTTCAAGTTCATGATCACAATCATTCCACCCTTAGTCCTGGGATCAGAGACGGGGAATAAAGGGTGGAATGCAAAGAGCTAGGCCTTACACTTCCCTGCTCCGCACTTGTACTTCTACTGTAATTCTCTCTTTCCACCAAAATTTCCACTCCTGGTCAGTAGCCAATTTTTTTTTTCTTTCCTAGCACCAGGTGGCTTTTGCTTATCAGGATTCTCTGGAATTTTCTTACAGGAAAAGGAAGGAAAAGCAGTAATTAAGCGCTGAGGTTTGGGAGACCTTCTTCTCTTGCCTAACCCCACCCAGCCCTTCCTTTACCTCATTTAAACTCGGCGAGGTCGAGTGCAGTGCCGGCAGACCCCTCGATGCCCAGGGGGAGCAAAGCGAGTTCCACCCTGCCTGCCTTCACTTCCGGGCGCCCTGTTTGGCCGCCTGAATGTGTCGCCGTAAAGGGAGAGCCTGGCCCCTTGCAAGCCCCAGCCCCACCGCCTCCACACAGGGAGCCACAGGGCTCCGGTTCTGCTGTGCTGGCCTGCACAGTGGGCCTAAGCACGCTGGGACAGGCCTGCAAGGTGGCACAGGCCGCCTGGGCTGATTGTGATGGCCCCTGAAGGGCAAGGCCACGGACAGCAGGGCCAGGCAGGAGTGGGAGACGGCGGATCCCGTTCACCAAGGGAGCTCAGAGGCCCAGGGCTGCCTTCAGATTTGCGAGACAGGCTACATTTGTCAGTGTGCTTGGAAACGACTCTAATAATGCTATTTAATAATGTTTCATTTAATTTACTGCTATTACGTGGTAGTTTCATATTAGCCAATTCACCTCATGGAAATGAACATTTTATAAAAGCAGAAAGGAAAATTTCAGGACGTAGAGGCTTCTTGTAAAACCTATTTACTTGAGAGGCAGAAAGTTAGAGAGAGACAGATCAGTCTTTCATCCGCTGGTTCACCCCCCAGATGCCTGCAGCAGCCTCCAGCTGAGGCTGAAGCTGGGAACTGGGGACCCAGTGCAGGTCTCCCGTGTGGGTGGTGGGATCCCGTGTGGGTGGTGGGATCCCAAATACTCGGGCCATCATCATGCCTCCTAGAGTGTGTTAGTAGGAAACTGGAGTCAGGAGACAGAGCCCGGTGTTGAACTCAGGCACTCTAAAGTGGATGCACGCATCTGAACTGCTGGGCCAAACACCCACGCCTGTAGGCATTTGTTGCCGTTGTTCAGTTTACAGTTGCTTGGTATGGAAGTTAGCTCTAGAATTCCACAAGTTGCTTTCTGGGAGAGCCTGCGCCATGCGCGTGGCCTTTGTGAGACTCCACCATGGCGTACCATGGACGGGGCCTACAAGCGCAGAAGGTGACGGTGCAACCCGTCCGCCAGCCTCGTCTTCAGACACCTGCTGAACAGACCTCACACCCAGGTGCACCTGTGTGAGCAGGTGCACATGTGGAGAGAGGGCTGTGTCGCTGGTTTTGCCATGAAACTCACGTTAGGTGATGCAGAAGAAATTCATTCTCAAACAAAGTCAAGAAAACAACTGGGTCAGATCATGCTGAAAAGAGGTTATATTATTTGCCACAAAGCATCTCCAACAAGAAGTGATCAGCGGAGTGAGAGATTGTTGAGAAGGCAATACTGGGTTTGTTTTGGGTGTCCTTTATCGTGAGTACAGTTCTAAAACACTTGGTCACATTGTTTTGTTTACGCTTTTGTTACAAGAAGAGAGTAGGTGCTGCGGGATTTTCAATTTAAAAGAGAAGGAAGTTGTAAGCTTAGATGTATCTGAGAAACGGTATGGGGTGTCTTAAGAACCCAAAAAGAACATTTAGAAGACACCATGACTGCTGTCACTTTAAACTTGCATGTCTAGATTCACAAAGCTGGCTCGTGTGTGAGGCAGTCTGACACACAATGTCTGAGGTTGCATCGTGGCCTGTGTGTGACAGCTCCAGGAACTGACCTATGATCTTCCTTCTTTTTTATTTTAAGATGTATTTATTTATTTGAAAGTCACAGTTGAGGGGTGGGGGAGATACAAGGAGAGATCTTCTATCTGCTGTTTCACTGCCCAGGTGCCCGCAATGGCCAGGGCTGGGCCAGGCTGAAGCCAGGAGCCAGGAGCTTCATCCGGGTCTCCCACATTGGTGGCAGGGGTCCAAACACTTGGGCCATCTTCTGCTGCTCTTTCTCAGACACATTAGCAGAGAGCAGGATCAGAAGTGGAGCGGCTGGGACTTGAACCAGCGCCCATATGGGATGCCAGCATCACAGGCGGTGGCTTAAGCTGCTGCACCACAACGCTGGCCCCCATCCTTTATTTATGCACATCGTATGAACCTGACTTCGGAGCCTTGAGCACCTATAATATTTGAAACGCTGCCAGTGATGGCATTTCCTGCAGTCCTGCAAGGGGCCTTTGGCTGTGTGCTTTTCACTTGGGGAGCAGTCACCTGATTCCTTGGTGCTCAGGTTTTGGAGTTCCCTGCTCACTCACCTCCCCTGTATTCCCTTCCTCTTGGGAAGTATTTTTCTGTCCCACGTAACTTGACTCTACAAGGAGAAGGATCATCCGCTGTCCTGCACAGAGGCTCAAACTCTGATCCCAGAGGTCTGGAACGATCTCGCCTCTAAGGGGACAGAAATGCATCCGCTCTTACTTCTCTGGCCTTTGCCTGGTTTGCCTGATTTGCTTCAAATTACTCAGTCCCTGCACTGGCGACTTCTATTAGAGCAACTCCTCAGGCTGACTGTTAGGTGCTTGTGCTATTTGGGGCACAAAGAGAGCAATGACAGCAACCACACAGAGGATAAGAAGCAGTGGCTCCCGCACCGTGGAAGCAGCACTGTCCCGATCTGCAGCGGGGAGCCCGTGTGGTGGGCTCTGCTCCACAAGGTCATCCGGGGATCGTCAGCGTGTGGCTTTCCTCTCTGGGTCTCCGATTGCTACCATGTCCCCGTGCACCAGAGGACCCAGAGGGCAGTCCTGTTGTGTAAGCAAGGGATGCTGACGCTGCTCACGTCTCCTGCCCTTAACGGTCCTGGCAGCCTTGTGGGTACATGACCTTGCCTGTGCCAAGGGAGCGTGGGTCGTGCAGTCGCGAGTGAGCAGCCACATTCTAAAGCCTGAAGCTACTAGGGGAAGGGAGGAAAGAGGCTTGGGGGAAGCATCAAACATTCTGGCTCAGAAACCTAACTCCTTAAAGAAGATCGTCAAGGCTGTAACAAGAGCGATTTATGTATAGTAGCTCACTCACAGGGAGCTTAAAAAGTCGAAGGTTTTCTGTGAGCGTCTACCCTGGTTTGTTTAGAATGCAAATGCTTTGTAATCATGGGGTCTCCCTTTCATAATATATACCCGGCCTTCTACCCAAGGAGAGGACGTTTTGTTCTGTGTCCGTCCTGTTTCTTGTTCCCTTGGTAGGGGGCCCAGGTGCCACCCAAACATGGCAGTACCGCCAGCCCTAGTGTTTGCATAGTCCTGCGTCCTGGAATTCTCTAGGGTTTTCGAATAGAAAGCTTGCAAGTGTTAGATTCCTGCTTCCTTGCAGCGAGCGAGGGCTTGGGCCCATCTCAGAGCCTTCATGAGGTCTTGATTTCCTCTGCCCCTGCACCGCCTCTCCCCTCCTTTGGGGGCCTCAGGGCCGTCAGGCGTGATTACCTGGGAGCACTTGCTCTTCCCTGGTGTGCTTCTCACGTCCGCCGGCCTCTCGCTGCCCAAGCTGGAGGGCTGCATTCTTCGCCCTTGTGCCCTCACCGAGGAGGACGGGGCCTTTCCTCGGCAGACAGACAGAGAGAGAGAGAGAACTCCCACCCACTGGTTCACCCCCCAAGCACCTTCAAAGGCCAGGACTGAACTGGGCCAGGCTGGAGCCAAGAACCGGAACCCGCCACCAGGTCTCCCGTGTGGGCAGCAGGAGCCCGACTACTTGAGCCATCTCTGTTGCCTCCCGGGGTGTCCACTGGCAGGAAGCGGGAGTCGGGAGTTGGAGCTAGGACTTGAAGGCAGGTACCCCGATGAGGGAGGTACCCCTACTTAATAGCCAGGCCCAGTGTCCGGCCCGTGCTCCTGTTTGTAACCTGTAAGGAGGAGCTGGGCGTGTGGGTCTCCGGACGGCCTTGCAGCTCTAGTTCATTCTGGCTGAGTTCTGGGCGGGAGCAGGCACTCATAGGACAGCCGCTGGAGCAGCCTCGGCCCTCGGGTGCTGTCCGGGAGGTCGGTGCACTGACCCTGCCTCACCCCGGCCAGGCAGCGGGGGCGGTGGGCTGTGAGGCCAGTGACGGCGCGGGCTGCTCTCCCCAGGTACGTGTGCATTGCTATGGAGGCGCTGGACCAGCTGCTCATGGCCTGCCACTGCCAGAGCATCAACCTCTTCGTGGAGAGCTTCCTCAAGATGGTGGCCAAGCTGCTGGAGTCGGAGAAGCCCAACCTGCAGATCCTCGGCACCAACTCGGTAAGGGGCGGCCCGGGGCCCCAGGGGCTCCTGGCCGGGGTCTGGGGGCTTTGGGGGCAGCATCCACGGGTTCGGTTCCGCTTTGTTTCTGACCCTGAGCACGACACACTGCTTGTCCCTCCTTCTGTGTGAACAAGGGGGGGAGGTGTTTATTTTTAAATGACAGCAAATAAAATCATAATTTTTTTATTTTTTGACAGGCAGAGTGGACAGTGAGAGAGAGACAGAGAGAAAGGTCTTTCTTTGCCATTGGTTCACCATCCAATGGCCGCTGCGGCCAGCGCACTGCGCTGATCCAATGGCAGGAGCCAGCTGCTTCTCCTGGTCTCCCATGGGGTGCAGGGCCCAAGCACTTGGGCCATCCTCCACTGCACTCCCTGGCCACAGCAGAGAGCTGGCCTGGAAGAGGGGCAACCGGGACAGAATCTGGTGCCCCGACTGGGACTAGAACCTGGTGTGCCGGCGCCGCAAGGCAGAGGATTAGCCTAGTGAGCCGCGCAGTTCATATAAATATATGATACAATTCAGCGTTTTCAAAGCGTGTGGTTCAGTCATTTTAGTGCCTTCACAGTCTTGTGTCAGTATTAAGATATTTATATACTGGTGATCATCGAGCATTTTTTGCTGATAGATTTTTTTCCCCTAAGTAATTTTAATCCGGGCCACAAGATATATAAAAATGAGAGTGAAACAGAAGCATCCATCGGAGGCAGGGGCTGCTCAGGGCCCTCGGAACCCAGGGCTCCGTGGGGCATCCTTGGCAGGCTGACCTGGGTCATGCCTCTTTCCAAGATGGAGCAAAGAGATGTGCACAGGACAAGGCCCAGAGGCCCGGGAGGACCGCGGGGAAGCAGGAAGCAGGGCTCTGGTTAGTCCTGCCCTCGCTAGCTGTGCAGTCTTGAGCGGGGGCTCTTTGGCGGGCCTCGGCCTTTCCCTCAACACCGTGAGCAGGTTGAGCTTGGTCTCTGCAAGCACAGGTCTCTAATGCTGGCCTCAGCGCAGCAGGAGAGGTTATGGCTTTGTGAGAAGAGGTGGTCGCAACGTGGAGAAGTGCTGGTGCCACCTGTATGGCCACGCGCACTTGAGGGTCGTCTTTGCGTTCTTGCTCTTTCCCTCCAATCCCCCCGCCCAGCCCCTCTTTCAGGGCACACCGGAAGCCCTGGGTCTTCAGGCAGCTGAGACGCAGCTATTGTTCAGCTCTTTGCCCATAGACATCGCAAGAGCAAAGTCCCAGGTTTGCCCCTTGGTGTTCCAAGCCCGACCTCTCCGAACTGCTGCTGCCGGGATCGGCTTTCCTGTTCTCCATAGCTTGACTGAACCAGAAGAGTCTTCCAACTTTCCTTTCTGGGACCAACAATTACCCCCTGCTCCCTCCCCCTTCCCTCCCTCCCTCCCTCCCTTCCTCCCTCTCTTCCTTCCTCCCTTCCTCCCTCTCTCTGCCTGGAGCTGGGGGTGAAGCCTGTATCAGGTTGCCGGGCAACAGCCTCAGCTACTGTTTTAGTTGTGTTGTTTGCAGTAGCCACGGCCTGGAAGAGAGCATCCGAATGGAGGCTCGCCCAGTCCCTGTGCGTCCACGAGGGCTGAGGAGTAGGCGGCTCCCAGGTCCAGTGTCCCCCTGGGGTTCTCGCCCGGGGTGGGGGTCTTGTTAGCTACAGCAGAGACGGTCTCAGTGTCCTACAAGTTCGCCATCATGGTGAAGCTCTGCACGGCCAGAGAGCGAGTCGACGGGTGGCTGCCGCTGGGCAGACGCTGAAGACAACGGGCCAGGCTGTCCTGAGTGAGTTAAGTGAAATCATGCGAGAGATTCCGGCTCCCTCGTGCAGGTGCTCTGTCCAGCTCTGTACGCCTGGGACCTTCTCGAACCTTCGCGAGAAGAATGCTGTTCTGCTCCTCGTCATTTTGGACCTGCCGGCCTGCTGCCTCTTGACGGGCCCCCAGAGGCTGGGCTGGGAGCGTCAGAGGGACCAGGAGGCCCGGGGAGGAGGACGAGGAACCCCGGGGCCCTTCACTGCCGTGGCGCTCGGCAGCCAGCTCCTTTCAGCTATTGGTGTGGGCACTCGCAGCGTGCGTTTTGGATTCAAGAAAGAGGGAAAGAGAGAAGGAAGGAGAAAGGGCAACGAGAGACAAAGCCTTCGGTCTTCCGTAAGCCCCTGTAGCACGGCCTGGCAGGGGAGGCCCGGAGAAGCCAGGCGGCTCCTCTGCTCCCACGGCACGAGCTCCGGACAGTGACTCCTCCGGCCCCTGCATGGGCACCGTTGTCCCTGGAACCCGAGAGTTGGCCAGGGCAGAGGCTCCCCAGCGGGCCCCACGCAGTGTGGCGTCCCCTCTCTCTAGAGCCCAAACCACGGCCCCCGGCCTCTGTGGGACACTTCCCTGCCACTGGGCCTGGCGGCTCACGGCCCTGAGCACGAGGAGTGAGGAGGACCCACCTTCAGCCCACTCTTCCTCTCTGCAGTGTTAGAAACCCGGTCCCCAAAGCCGGCCGATGACACCGTCTCCCAGAGAGCTGGGAGAGGCTGCAGGTTCCCAGCTCGCAGCGTCTCTGGGGGGAGGGGCACTTGGGAGCCTGGGTTCCGGTTGCCCGTGTGGTGCTGTCAGCCAGCCTTGTGATTCTCTGGCCCACCGCAGCCTGACACCTGCGCAGGTTCCTTCCATCTGCCGAAACTCTCCCCGCCCCCTCCATGGGTGCTCGCCCACCTTGCATCGGATCACCCCGAGGTTCCCATTGTGCCGAGACTTGTCACACACCCACGTTTGCCCATGCCATTCCTGCACATTACATGCCGGAAACTATCATTTAAAATTTTAAGTGATGTTTCCAAGCCCTTAATGAGAGTCTTGGACTTTGGATGATGGGGACAGACCGGAAGAGTCAGGAGAGGGGGAGCCAGGGCCGGCCAAGCTCTTATTTGCTTGAGATTCGCACCTGTGCCCTGTCTCCCTGCGTGATGGGTCCAGGTGTGTGTCTTGGGAACAGTGCAAACACTCACCTGTCCTAGCCCTTTAACGACACTCACCAATGATAAACTGAAAATACTAAATCAGTAATGTCAAGATCCACTACATAAATGATGTAGAGTGTTGGCCTAGTGTCTACCAAGAGTAAAATATTATGAGAATTCATGGACTCAGAGCCCATACTTTCATTCCTGCCTCACACCATACACAAAAATTAAATCAAAATAGATCTAAAACCTAAGTGTAAGAGCTAGAACTATAAAACTGTCCAAAGAAACTATAGGGTTAAATCTTCATGATCTTGGATTAGGCAGTGGAGTCTTAGATGACATCTGAAAAACAAAGCAACTAAACAAAAAAACAGAAATTTCAGAAAAATTAAAAACTTCTTGTGCGTTCAAGGGCACCATCAAAGAGGTAAAAAGTCCACATAATGGGGAGAAATATTTACAAATCATACATCTGATGGGGGTTCAATCACCAGAATATGTAGAGAATTCTTGGAATTCAATGACAAAAAGACAACCCTACTGAAAACCAGGCAAAGAACTTGAACAGACTTTCTTTTTAAAGACTTATTTATTTATTTGAAGGGCAGAGTTATAGAGAGGTAGGCACAGAGAGAGAGAGAAAGAGGACTTCCATCCGCTGGTTCACTCCCCAGATGGCAGCAACGGCTGGAGCTGTGCCAATCAGAAGCCAGGAGCCAGAAGCTTCTTCCGGGTCTTCCACACGATCGCAGGCGCCCAAGGACTTGAACCATCTTCTGCTTTCCCAGGCCATAGCAGAGAGCTGGATCGGAAGTGAAGCAGCCGGGACTCAAACCGGTGCCTTAGGGGATACCGGCACTGTAGGCGGTGGCGTTAGCCGCTATGCCACAGTGCCGACCCTTTGAACAGACGTTTCTCCAAAGGAGGTGCACGATGACCACCAAGCACGTGAGAAGATGCGGAACAGCGCTAGTTATTAAGGAAATGCCAGTCACAGCATAAGGAGACCGCACTGTGCGCCCACTAGGATAAGTCTCTGTGTCTCTCACACACACAGAGCTGACGAGCGCGTGCAGAGACTGGGACCTCTGCGTTCCTGGGGGAAACGTAAGATGGCGCGGCCCTCACAGGAATTAGCCCGGTGAGTCCTCACCAAGCTAAGCATACAGAACCGGCTGACCCGCGGTTCCTCCGAGAGACGCCCAGAGGAAGCACTCAGGCGGGCACTGGTACCCAGCTGTTCTCAGCAGCGCCGTCCCAAGGACCAGGGTGGAGGCAGCCCCGCAGGTCACACGTTGTGCAACCCCTAATCCGGAGGAGGCGGAGCCCTAGGACAGGCAGAGGCTGAGTGGTTTCGGGGGCGGGGAGGGGGCGGCGGGGCCGCGTGCTGGGCTTTGGTGAAGCTCCTCGGTTCATTCTTTGACCCCCCCTCTCGCCTGCACCCCTTCCCACACCTGCTGCTTCTGTCTCAGGGATGGCTTTGCCTTCTTCTCCCATGGAGGAAGTAGGGGCTATGGGGGGCTCCCTCCACTTACTGCCTCCCTGTTCTCCCGGGGATCCCCAGCCCCCCAGGAACCTCCTGCACCCACCTTCTCTCTCTTCCCCTTGCTCTGACTCCTTACCGCCTCTAAACACAGGTTCAAGTCTCTTTCAAGGTAGAAATAAACAAACTACATTAAACAGGAAAAAGGTTACAGTCTCCTGCAAAACCACAAAATGTCTGTCACCTGATGAAATTAACAAATCCAGGCGGAGACGGTTAGAATAAATAATCCAAGCAGGAGTGTGCCCAGACGTCTCCAGGGGCCCTCCTGCTCTCCCTGACTCTGACCTCTGTCCCCAGGGTCCCAGCCACTCCCCGCTCTATCCCCCCCCCCCCCGGCGACACTGACCTGAAGAGCCCAGGGCAGTTGCTGGGTGGCACGCCGCCCCACATTCTGGGTTGGTCAGGAGCTTCCCCTGTGGTGTCGTTTACCCTGCTCCCCCGTCTCCTGTGCTCCCTGTGAAGTGAAGTGAGGTCTGAGGTAGGACTGGAGGCGGGCAGCCACCTCCGTCCTTAGGGCTTCCTGGGCCACGCCAGCTGCTGCACCGTCTCACAGCAGGACCAGCTCTCTGCGTCCACCTTATGTGGGTGCTGGCTGTGACCTTGGGTTAGGGTGGTGCCCAGAGCTCGCTCCACCATAAAAGCAGATAGAAGTCTGTGGAAATCGCGCAAGCCACCCCCCTCCACACCTGCCTCTGACCTGATGGTCAATCTGTCGCTGGCTTCTCTCCCTGCCCACTGTACCCTTCTCCACAGCCCCTGATGCCCATGGCCCTGTCGCCCCTGCCCCCAACAGGGGGTGTGCATGTGCTGCTCCCTGGGACCTGAGAGGGCTGTCTTACGTGACCAAGGGGGCTTTGCCCAATGAGTGACCAGCTAAGGATCCTAAGACGGGCGGATTGTCCTGAATTCCGCAGTGGGCTTGATGGCATCACCAGGAGCAGGTGCGGACGGAAGCCGAGGGGCAAAGAGGAAGACTTGAGCTGCTTTGCCTGCAGCCTGCACGTGGAGGGAGGGGCCAAGAGCCAGAGGGGGCGTTGGGACGCTGGGAGAGGCCAGGGCCAGATGCTCCCCTGGGCCCCCAGGAGTGCAGAGCCGTCTTAGAACCGTGTTGTTTTAAGCCAGTAAATGGGGGCAATTTGCTACAGCGGCCACAGGAAGCTGTTTCCTTATGAGTCTCTGAGGTCCCCATGTGTGGTCCCCAAAGCCCCATGCCCTCCTCCCTGCCCCAGGCGAGCGCATCTACCCCGTGGTCCCTGGCACCTTCTGTGGACTAGAGAGCCTTCGACCCCAACGCAGGCCTGGCAGGCAGCACTGCTGGAGGCCAGCCGGCTACGGTGGCGTCCATGAAGTGGGGGGCCTTCTGACCTGCAAGGCTGGTGAGATGCTCGGGTCAGGGGCTCAGCTCAGCCCAGCCAGGAGCTCCGCGCAGAGCGTAGGCCTCAGGGGCCAGCCTGTGGGGCTGCGCAGGACCAGCAGGGTCCACACTTTCCCAGGAGTTCTTAGGGCCACGGCCAGTTTTGCAAAGAAGCTTGGAGGAGCGGGCAACAGGCCCAGGGAATTACTACTCCGTGGCTGGCGGTCAGGAGGGTGGTGGGGTGTGATCGAGGCTGTTTCGCCGGCAGCAACGGAAACCACTCCACAGAGCTGCTACAAACAAGAGCAGGGGAGAACGGGGCAGGCAGTGTTAAAGTCAAAACCGTGTGGTTTGCACAATGTGCGCTCCAGCTAGGATTTGTCTTAGTGAAGCCAAGAAGCGGTTCCATGTCTCCCCGGGTGTCATGCAGCGCAAGGGACCTGCAGTCCTCAGCTGCCGGAGCCGACCCCCTGTGCCCTGTGTTTTTAACTCAGGTTAAAGAAGGAGAGGCCAACTTGCATCTGGCGAGACTCGGCTGGTGCTGAAGGGAGGCCGGTCAGCTCGGCTTCCTCTCCCAGGCCAGGGCAGGCCGCTTGAGCAATGTCCAAACTGGGGGCTCGCTTTCTCTTTATTGCCCCAGGCCCCTGGAAACCTCCCCACACACTGCCAGGGCAGCATTTTCACACCACTGTGCCTCCTGCCTGCCTGCCAAGAGTGGTGGCCGCTCCCGCAAGCATGGCACCCGTTGCTGTGCATGAAGAGCCGGAACTTTGATCTCAAAAGGGTGGCCCTCGCAGTGCCGTGGCCTTTGAAATGTCATTCGTGCAAAATCGTCCGTTGGTTGCTATGGAGACCTTTCTCATCATCGCTGTATCTTGGGGGAAAAAAGTCAACTTTATCCTTCCACATTCTCATGCAATAGGAAACTATCATTTTAATATAAGTCATTTATGAGAGATGAATTAGCAATGATAGGGCTGAATTAGCCAGAAACTTCCTGTGGTCTTATGCATTAAAAAAAAAAAAGTGGCCACTCAGGTAGTCGGGCCCAGTGGGAACTCCCAGAGTGTGGACAGGAAGTTAGAGATGCCCTGGGTGTGGGGGAGCTGAGGAGGTGTCTCCTACCTGTGACAGGCGGGGCTGACAGCGACAGGCAGGGCTGACAGCGTTTTAGCCATCCTAACCCTACAAGGCAAGGGCTCGTATTATTCCCATTTTGCAGACGAGGCAACCAGAGGCCCGGGGAGCGTAAGCACTGGCCCCAGATCACCCTACCAACAGGTGGAGGAGCTGGGTTCAGGTTTGCCGTGTGGCTCCAAACCCCTGCTCATGTTCCAGCACTCCCCTGCCTCTTAGGAGAGTGGCGAAGGCCGAAATCACTTCTAATCCAGGAGTGAGTCCCAACCCCCCCTCAACCAGGCTTGGCCTGTTTCCTAGGTGACTTCCACAGTGGGTGTGGCCCCCTGACCAGGGGCCCCCTAAGCACCTCTTTCAGACCCTCTGAGGCCCCAGTCCGGAGAACGTCCTCGTGCCAACCACTGGAAGACCAGGAAGCAGTCGGGGTGAGCTGGCTAGCAGCTGCCCCAGGACACCGCAGGCCAGTGCTCCCGGCTGGGGCATCTCCCTGGGGATGCTTGGGAGCCTGGTGCTTTCCTTAGATGTCCTGCTGGCACCCACACAGTCGGGTCTCCCACATGGGTGCAGGGATCCAAGCACTCGGGCCAGCTCCTGCTGCTTTCCCAGGCGCGTTGGCAGGGAGCTGGATCAGAAGCGGGGCGGGCGGGACTGGACGTGGTGCTCCAATATGAGATGGCAGCCTCTCGTATTAAGGCGGCGGCTCGATCTGTTGCACCATAGCGTCGAAGGGGCCTCTTAGATTCCCAAGCAGGCATTCGGTGCGCTGGTTAAGATGCCGCCTTGGGCTCTGGCATCCCGTGAGTCCGGGCTCCACTTCCAGGCCTGGCTTCCTACCGGCACGTACTGCAGGGGCAGCGGGGAATGACTCAACCTGGATACAATTCCCAACTCCTGGCTTTGGCCTGGCCCAGCCCCAGCTGTTGCAGCCGTTTGAGGAGTAACCAGTGGATGGAAGGTTCATCCTTTGGATCAGCGCAGTGCGCCGGCCGCAGCGCGCTGGCTGCGGCGGCCATTGGAGGGTGAACCAATGGCAAAAGGAAGACCTTTCTCTCTGTCTCTCTCTCCATATATGAAGCCGAGAGGGCAGAAGGCAGATGCTGCTCCAGGGGCCGGTGTCCTGGTGCACCTGCTAAGATGCCACGTGGAACACCTACCTCCCCTGTCTGCTTCCAGCTCAGGTGCAACCTGGGGGCAGCACATGATGCCTCCTCTACGTGTGTCCTTGCCATCCATGTGGGAGACCCCGATGGAGCTCCCAGCTCCTAGCTGCAGCTTGGCCCAGCCCAAGCTGTTGCTGGCCACTGAGGAGTGAACCAGGGGATAGAAGATCTCTCTCTCTCTCTGTCACTCTGTCTTCCAAATAGGTACATAAACAAAACTTTTAGAAATAAAAAAAGAGACAGGGCCAGTGCTGTGGTGTAGCGGGTAAAGCCGCCACCTGCAGTGCCGGCATCCCATGTGTGCAATGGTTCGAGTCCTGGCTGCTCCACTTCTGATCCAGTTCCCTGCTGTGGCCTGGGAGTTGTGGCCATTTGGAAGGTGAACCAGCAGATGCAAGACCTTGCTCTCTCTGTCTCTGCCTCTCTGTAACTCTGCCTTTCATATAAATAAATAAATCTTTTAAAAAAAAGAAGTAGAGATATTTGCTTTAAAAAATAAGACTTACGAACCAAAGTAGCAAACTTGAAAAACTTACATTTTTAAATAGGATTTCGGCTTTGCTCTTGTATCCGCAGGATGCGTTCTAGGGCGGCGCTGTACGCTTCGCCCTTGGCTTTCGCCCGGCGTTGGAGGGAAGAGCGAGCCCCCTTCACCCTCCCCTCCTTCCATCCTCTGCTCCCAGAGCCTGGGAACGCCTGGTTTCCAGCCTTGCGGTGTAGACAGGAAGGGCCAGCAGCATGCGAAGCTCAGCGTCCCGGGGTGCTCTGAGGCACGACCGGAGTGGGGGGCCGGGATGCGTGGCTCCCGGGCGCTCGGGCGCGCTCACCTCTCGCATGTCCTGTCTCTCCTCCCTGACAGTTTGTGAAGTTTGCCAACATTGAGGAGGACACCCCGTCCTACCACAGGAGCTACGACTTCTTTGTGTCCCGATTCAGTGAAATGTGCCACTCGAGCCACGATGACTTGGAAATCAAGACTAAGTGAGCAGGGGTGGGGGGTGGGGGGTGGAAGGTGGGGGTGGGGGCCTGCGCGGCTCCCTGCAGAAGCTGCGCGTGCCCTAAGGGAGCTTCTAGCTCGGGGCTGCCTATGCCGGGTGGAAAGACACCTGGCTGGGCGCAGGTGGGCAGCTGTGCACCCCCAGTGCGTGGTTTCTAAGGGCCAGAACGTGGGGCTAGGTGAAGGAGAACAGTCCTTTGAGCCCAATTTGAGAGTCAGTGACAGCACAGAGATGCAGCTCCAGGGGGGTGCGTGCGCGCACACACACACACATACACACACACGTTGTAAGCAAGTCCATGCATTTACACACCCAGAAAGACGCCCACCAACCAAGAGCTGAAGTCCTCACACTGGCCAGCCCCCACTGCTCCCTCAGCTCATTTCTCCCCGCTTGCTCGTTCCTCTGGAGTCACACAGGCCTCCAGCACACCAGGGGCTCCTGCCTCAGGGCTTTTGCACGTTCTGCGCCCCCTCCATGGACCTGCGTGGCTCATGGCTCATGGCCAGCCACCCTCCTGCATCTGGACCCAGGAGATCCGGTGCTGTCCAGCTCCTGCCACCCTCCAGGGATGAGGGTGGTGAGGCCTAGGGAAGCAGCCTGTAAGCCCCACTGAAAACCCAAGTTGAAAATAGAGCAACTGGCTGGCGCCATGGCTCACTTGGTTAATCCTCCACCTGCAGCACCAGCATCCCGTATGGGCGCCAGGTTCTAGTCCCGCTCACTCCTCTTCCAGTCCAGCTCTCTGCTGTGGCCCAGGAGTGCAGTGGAGGATGGCCCAAGTGCTTGGGCCCTGCACCCGCATGGGAAACCAGGAGGAAGCATCTGGCTCCTGGCTTCGGATCGGTGTAGCTCCGGCCGTAGCGGCCATTTGTGGAGTGAACCAACGGAAGGAGGACCTTTCTGTCTGTCTCTCTCACTATCTATATCTCTACCTGTCAAATAAATTTAAAAAAAAAAGAAAAGAAAATACAGCAACTGAACGTTCGGAAAAACAGCCCAACTCTAGCAATGGGTGTGAACCAAAATACCGCGAGATGTGAGGCTGTCTCGGCGCCGTGAACGCGAGCAGAGGTTGACAGCGAGACCCAGGGCTGCTTGCTGCCGCAGGGACCGTGGCGGCCTTTGGCCTGTGGCTGCGCACGTGGCTGCGGCAGGCATTTGGGGATGGTGGGAGTCTTGTTTCTCAGCTTCCGACTCCGTGATTCAACTTGGAACGTGGTAAAAGCATTTATACAGTCATGCCCACTGCAGAGGATAGTTCAATATGGTAGCAAAGCAAGCTGAGCGGCCCGACGGGGGGCTGGTCAAGGTTCTGACGATGCCTATCGTGCAGCAGTTCAGCCTGTTTATGAAGAGCTCGTGATACAGTGAAATGCTTCTAACCGAGCAGTAACGTGAAAACGCCAACACAAAGGCAGCGTGCGGCAGGCGCTTAGCTCTGGGACGTCTTAGGCACCGACTGCCAGCAAGGTTCTCCTTCAGGGGTGGGAGGCGTGGGTCTGCTCTGCCCTGGCCTGCCCTAGGCTGAGCGTAGGTCGTTCCATAATCAGGAAAAGGGAGCTCCAGGCTGACATGACCGGCCGGTACCGAGGGCTCCCACCCTGCACTGCGCTGTCTGTGTCAGAGATGGGGGGCGGGGGAGGGAGCTCCTGGATTCCCCCAGCCAAACCCCCTGATGCCCAGGAGGCCCTCTGCCTCTCCCTCCAGGGCCGCCGCCTCTGGCTCCCAGAGCTGCTTGTGGCCCTGGGTTCTGCCTCGTGAGTTCTTGGCAGCACCTCGAGCGCCTACCTCTTAGCCTGAGCTAGAAGGAACGAGCCGAGCCCTAAAGATGGCGGTGGCAGGGCAAGAGCAGTCTAGAGGACTCGAAGGCGAGCTGGAAGACATGGCTTCCCAGGCCCACCCCACGTCCACCACGCAGCAGGCGGCCGGCCGGTCAGGTCGCGTGAAGGGCAGCAGGTGCCCCCCCCCCGGCCCCTGGGCGCCGCCACTCTCCTTGCCCAGGCTTGAGGACGGCAGGGCCCCGTGTCACCGTTTTCCCCGCAGAATCCGGATGTCAGGCATCAAGGGGCTACAAGGCGTGGTGAGGAAGACGGTGAATGACGAGCTGCAGGCCAACATCTGGGACCCCCAGCACATGGACAAGATCGTCCCATCGCTGCTTTTCAACCTGCAGCACGTGGAGGAGGCAGAGAGGTGAGCTCACCCCGAGGCAGCCCCCCAGGCGGTGACACCCAGCAGCAAGGTGGGGGGCCCCATCACCGTGTTGGGGCGCGAGGACAGGCACAGTGCTGCCCCCCCTCCCCCGGGGACCTGGGGTGGCGCTAGCTTTGTCTCTGGGAGCGGGCAGGCCGAGGAGATTTGCAGAGGCCTCTCATGGCTCAGCTGTGGAGGACTTTCGCTCCAAAACTTCCTTACTCCCTCTCTTCCTAGTGCTATTTCAGGCCCTTAAACCACGCGTGGCCAGCCACAGAGCCACTCAAAAGAGTTGCGCACACACTGGGATGATCATTTTAATCCTGTAGCCCCTAAGCCTAGGACTCATTCTTGTCCCTGCTCCCTCACTTTGCGGGTCTGTGAAATGGGTTGGAGGGGCAGGTTCATGGGCTATGCCAGTTAGACTGGGAGTCTCCCTTTCTGTGTGTCGAGCCTAGGTGGCGGGGATGTGGGTGTGCCCCCTGGTGGCTGTTTGTGGAAGAGCAGCTCACTGACGGCTCTGAGCCCCAGAGCCACACCTGAGCCCACCGCCATGCCACTCCTTTCCCCGCCCCCTCCTCTCTCCCACGTTTGTTTTCCTCCTCTGCTCCCTCCCTCACTTCCCATCCCTTTCCTTCTGAGGCCCGAGGTACATGGAGATGCTGTGTTCTGCACCTCGACAGGGCCGTGGTGCTCAGAGCACCCACCCCTTAGGGGGCTCCAGAACAGGACCCTCGCCCCTTTCTCCCAGTCTTACTCCCTCCAGGTTGCCTCGCCAGGACTCACTGCTGTTGGCCATGGCACCTCCTGGCCGCCTGGCGTAGCCCACATCCAGTTCCTGCCTGTCCTGTTGTCATCACTGCATGGATAAGGCACAGAGACCCGACAGAGCCCAGAACCTGGCTCCCAGCGTTGCCCCCACCCTACCCATGGGGCTCTGTTTCCACAGCCGGTCTCCCTCACCCCTCCAAGCACCAGAGAAGGAAAAGGAGAACCCAGCAGAGCTGGCCGAGCGGTGCCTCCGGGAGCTGCTGGGCCGGGCTGCCTACGGCAACATCAAAAATGCCATCAAGCCCGTCCTCATGTGAGTGCCCCAGCCCCTGCCCCAGCCCCTGCCCCAGCCGTCTGGGGCCCTGGACGCATCTCCCTGCAGACTCGAGATACCACCGCGGTGGTGCCTGCTACCAGACAGGGCCAGGAGCCACCTGGGGGGAGGGGCTGGGGGAGGCCCCCGACGGCAGCCCCATTCCACCTGTCCCTCAGCCCTGACCTCCCGGCAGCTGTGGGGCTGCCCCGCACCCAGGGATCACTCTTGCTGCCCTCTCTCAGCTACACCTGCGAGTCCGTCTGTTACCCCAGGCTCAATCTGCGGTTCCAAATCAAAATAATGGGGACACGGTTTGAGGTGAAGGAGGGAGCCCCTTGTACCGCTGGGCAGATGAGGAGGGTGGCTGACCTCGGGTCTCGGGAACTGGGGTGAAGGAGGGAGCCCCTTGTACGCTGGGCAGATGAGGAGGTGGCAGACCTCGGCTCTCGGGAGCTCCCGGCCTGCGGACTCGCTCCGTTCAGTGGGGCCAGTGGCACCCAGCACCTGCTTGCCAGGCTCGGTCCTGCTTCTCCCACATCTGGGAGCCGTGCGAGGGCCTCTCGCCTCCGGGACATCCCTCCCTCTGGACGTCGCGATCATTCGCCCCATTCTCGCCCCCACAGCCACCTGGATAACCACTCACTCTGGGAGCCCAAGGTGTTCGCCGTCCGCTGCTTTAAAATCATCATGTACTCCATCCAGGTAGGGTGGCTCTGGGCGCCCTCTTGCCGGGTCACCAAGGTGTGAAGCCGGGGTCCGGGGAGCCCCGGGCCGAGCCCCTGTTGCGGAATCCAGCGCTGCGGAGGCTCCCGAGGACAGGGCCGGCTTAGTTTTATTCCTGGCACACCGCGCAGGCCGCAGGCCGAGGCGCATAAAATACAACCGCACCTCGCTCAGGCCGCGCCCCTAAATGGCCCTGTGGCCCCGGCGGAGCCCGAGGGCGCCTGGGCTCGGAGGCCACGTGGGGTCGCTGTCTTCTCCCCCCCAGCCGCAGCACTCCCACCTGGTTATCCAGCAGCTCCTGAGCCACCTGGACGCCAACAGCCGCAGCGCGGCCACGGTGCGCGCGGGCATCGTGGAGGTCCTGTCCGAGGCCGCCGTCATCGCCGCCACCGGCTCCGTGGGTAAGGGGCCGCCGGCGCGGGGAGGGGCGCCGGGGGCGGCGCGCCGCAGGCGGCCCTGACCGGGGGTCTCCCCGCGGGGCGCCCAGGGCCCACGGTGCTGGAGATGTTCAACACCCTGCTGCGGCAGCTGCGGCTCAGCATCGACTACGCCCTGACCGGCAGCTACGACGGGGCCGCGAGCCTCGGCACCAAGATCATCAAGGAGCACGAGGAGCGCAGGTTCCAGGAGGCCGTCATCAAGACCATAGGTGGGGCGGGGCCGGGGCGGGGCCTGGCGAGGCGGTGGGCGGGGTTCTGGGCTGGGGGCGTGGTCTGGCGGGGCTGTGGGTGGGGCCTGGTTGGGGCGGGGCCTCTGCAGGGAGGGGCGGGGCTAAGGGCAGAGGAGGGGCCCTGGGCTGAGGGCGGGGTCTGGCGAGGAGGCGGGTGGGGCCTGGTCGTGGGGGCGGGGCCCTGGGTTGAGGGCGGGGTCTTGGTCCGAGGGCCTTGGCTGGGGCGAGGCCCTGCGCCCGGGAGTACAGAAGAAGCCGGCGTGAGCAGCGGGCAGGCCCTGGCGTGGGCATGGACTGGCAAGCACCGGGGCAATGCAGTCCTCGTGCGCGTGGCCTTGCTGGGCAGGCCTGAGTGACAGCACGGAACTGTCTGGCTGTGTTTCTCAGACAGGCTAACTTCCCCTCCGCCCCAGTCCTGTTAGGCCTGCCCCATGGCGGGTGGGCAGATGGGGGGGGGGGGCTGAGGACCAGGAAGGAGGGAGAAGCTTCGAGGGCTGTGCGTGCCGTGGGTGCGGGGAGGCCCACGAACGCTCCTGGCCGCCGCGGCCTGGGTCGCGGGCCTGAGGGAGCTTCCCCGGCGTGGAGAGAGCAGCCGGCAGGGCCACATCCAGGGGCCATGCGGGTTTCTGCAGGCCTCACCCACCCTGGGCACCGGCAGGGCCGGCCCCCACCCCGCCAGGGCCCAGCGTGCCCGCCTCCCGGTCGGTGCTGGAGACCATGAGCATCCCCCGACCCGGGGCCGCTGCCAGGGCGGACAGGTGGGCGCCCAGGCCCCGCCTCACGCCCCGGCCTCCGCCTGCCCGCAGGCTCCTTCGCCAGCACGCTGCCCACCTACCAGCGCTCCGAGGTGATCCTCTTCATCATGAGCAAGGTCCCGCTGCCTTCCCTGCCTCACCCCGTGGAGACCGGGCGGACCGGGTGAGGCTGGCCCCTCTCCCAGCCGGCTTCCCCGCCCAGGTTCCCAGCACACGCCTTGATCCCTCTGGGAGTTGCCCCCCCCATCCTCGGATCCCCACACTTTTCCAGGCTGCCCCACCGTAACCACGCCCCGCCTTGGGTTCCCAGGTCATCTGCCTGGGTCTGGAAGCCCCTGTCTTGGGCAGCAAAGCCCTCTGGAGACGGGAATGAGGGGGAGGAAGGGGCAGGCTCTCCTGGTGAGCCGGCATCTCTGGCCCACAGGGAGAACAGGAACCGGCTGACGCAGATCATGCTGCTGAAATCCCTCCTGCAGGTCAGTGTCTGCTGTCCCCACACCCGCTCTGCCTCTGCAGTGGCAAAGTCCACTCCCGAGGGCGGGGAGAAGGCCACCACATACAGTCGCACAGGTTGCACACTGCACAAATATGCCCAGTCCAAAGGACGAGGGTGCTGAAATCCAGCCTGTGTTCCAGTCGCTGACCGAGGCCAGGCACCTGCAGAGCTGGAGACATTCCTGTTTCTCACTGCACAGAGGCCGCTTCTTGGTCACTGGTAGCCTTGTTGCTGCAGCATGATGTGTCTGGAGATGGATTCTGATGGTGCCTGCCCCACTTCCCTCCGGGTATCTCCCCCGGGCTCCGTCCCCTCTGCCCAGCTGTCACCCAGACACCAGCTCTCCCGTCCTATGTGTCTCGAACCCCGTCCCATGACCACCTTGCTAACGTGTGGGTCCCTAGGGGCCCTGAGTGTGCTGAGAGAGCACCCAGAATCTCTAGTTGCCTCCAGCATCCCAGGGACTCGGGTGCCCGCCCTGGCCTAAACTCTGGACGTCTCACAACTACGTTCTCCCCGTAGTCACTCCTTATCTCCACTCCCCTGCCTACCGTAAGCACAACCACTGGAAGAATTTTCTAGAAATCATGTCCCCCACATGCCGCCCCTTGTTTCAGAGTAGGTCTCGGTTTCCAGTGGTTGTCTGGGCAGATCTCACACCTGTCAGGTCCTAGCCCCCTTCCCCTCGTTGGACCCCCACCCCGTGCCACCACTCGGCCCCCGCCTCTGGCACAGACCCTGCCTCCCGCTCAGCCTGGCCCTCCTCTTGTCCAGCGCTCGCCCTCGTCACTGTTCACAAGGCCCTCACGCGGCCATCCTGCCCACATCCGCCTGCCTCCCTGGTCTTCAGCTCCCTGCCGCGTCTCTGCTGAGTTTGCCCTCCTCTGTTTGCACGCCCGACCTTATAAGAGGACCGTTGTGGGGACACCCTCACACAATCCCGCAGTGGACACTGACGTCACTCAAAGATGCGTTTGTTTGAAAAGCAGAGAGGCAGAGAGCTTCCATCTGCTGGTTCTCTTCCCAAATGCACCAGGCCAAAGCCAGGAGCCCGGAACTCCGTCCAGATCTCCCCGTGGGTGGCAGGGACCCAAGCACTTGGGCCATCTGCTGCTGCCTCCCCGAGTGCATGGACAGGAAGCTGCGTTGGACGTGGAGCGACCAGACTTGGACTGGTGCTCCGATAGGGATGCCAGCAGTGCAGGCGGGGGCTGAGCCCACTGCACCGCAGCACCTGCCCCTGACATTGGCTGCTGACGCCTCCCGCCCAGATCCTCGGGAGCCTCTCAGGCTTCCGTGGCGCCGTTTGCAGCGTGGGCCTAGGAGACACGCACTGCTGCTGCCCTTGGCCGCTGTGACATCGCACGGGCTGAGCGTTCAGATCCACACCATGAAGCTTTGGTTCACGCACAAAAGTATTTCAAATCTTGCATAAAAGTAACTTCAGGCTGTGTCTATAGTAGTCCTAAAATCTAAGTGGATTTCTTGTTTAACTTTGAGTCTGATCCCTAAGATATCCCATTATTTATATGCAAGAATTCCAAAATCCGGGGAAAAAATCCAAAATCTGAAACACTTCTGGGCCCAAGCATTTCGGATAAGGGAGACAACTTGTCCAGGACATGGCAACATGATGCCCACCGGCTTTAATCAGAAGTCCCGGTTGGCACGGGCGGGAAGGAGCCGACTCACCACTGGCCGGCCGTGCTCCTCGGGCGTCGCTGTACGGATGGGTCCTGGTTCCTCAGGCCGACCGCAAGTCCCACTGCCGCCCGGCCCTTTATGAACGCCCCTGCCCCTGGGGAGGCCCGGTGCCCTGGCCGCTGGCCTGCGCTTCGGGCGTTCCCTGAGTCCCGCTCCTCTCTAGCGCTCGTCCACGCTCGCTCTTAACGCCTTCACGCCCCTGCACCCCGTCCCCACCCGCCTACTCGTCTGCTGAGCTGAGCAGGTGATACCGGGGTGTCCCGGAGGCTCCCCGTGGCGTCCAGGGGCTGGGAGGCGGGGTCGGGGGTGGGGGAGAAGCTGCAGTGGGAGCAGTCCGGAGAGAACGGACCCACATTCTGCCGGCTGCCGCTCCTCTCCCCTCGGCCCCTGGCGGGCCGGTGTCCCTGAGCACGCGTGTCCCGGGCCCCCGTGCAGGTGTCCACGGGCTTCCAGTGCAGCAACATGATGTCGGCCCTCCCCAGCAACTTCCTTGACCGCCTGCTCTCCACCGCCCTCATGGAGGACGCCGAAATCCGGCTCTTCGTGCTGGAGATTCTCATCAGCTTCATCGATCGTCATGGCAACCGCCACAAGTTCTCCACCATCAGGTGAACACGTGTGCGGGGGCTGACGGCTCCCCACCGGGCCAGGCAGGAGCCCAGTGCAGCCCCAGCGCAAGGCTGATCACCGGCCTTGAACCTGGGGTCCTGCAAGGGCAGGAGGGACCCCGGGGCACTCGTGCCTTGGGGGAGCAGAGGGAGGACTCGAGACTCAGGTGATAAAGAGCAGGCGTTAAAGGGGTGTTCAGGTGGGGCGCGGATGGGGGTGCCGGGTAATCGGGGGCGCGGATGGGGGTGCCGGGTAATCAGGTGGGGTGCGGATGGAGGTGCTGGGTAATCGGGGGTGCAGATGGAGGTGCTGGGTAATCGGGGGCGCGGATGGGGGTGCCGGGTAATCAGGTGGGGTGCGGATGGAGGTGCTGGGTAATTGGGGGTGCAGATGGAGGTGCTGGGTAATCGGGGGCGCGGATGGGGGTGCCGGGTAATCGGGGGGCGTGGATGGAGGTGCCGGGTAATCAGGTGGGGCACGGATGGAGGTGCCGGGTAATCAGGTGGGGCGCGGATGGAGGTGCCGGGTAATCGGGGGGCGTGGATGGAGGTGCCGGGTAATCAGGTGGGGCGCGGATGGAGGTGCCGGGTAATCAGGTGGGGCGTGGATGGAAGTGCCGGGTAATCAGGTGGGGCGCGGATGGAGGTGCCGGGTAATCAGGGGCACGGATGGAGGTGCCGGGTAATCGGGGGTGCAGATGGAGGTGCCAGGTAATCGGGGGGCGTGGATGGAGGTGCCGGGTAATCGGGGGGCACGGATGGAGGTGCCGGGTAATCGGGGGCATGGATGGAGGTGCTGGGTAATCAGGGGCACGGATGGGGGTGCTGGGTAATCAGGGGGACATGGATGGAGGTGCCGGGTAATCAGGGGCACGGATGGAGGTGCCGGGTAATCGGGGGTGCAGATGGAGGTGCCGGGTAATCAGGGGGACATGGGTGGGGGTGCCGGGTAATCAGGGGCACGGATGGAGGTGCCAGGTAATCAGGGGCATGGATGGAGGTGCCGGGTAATCAGGGGCACGGATGGGGGTGCTGGGTAATCAGGGGGACATGGATGGAGGTGCCGGGTAATCAGGGGCGCGGATGGAGGTGCCAGGTAATCAGGGGGGCACGGATGGAGGTGCCGGGTAATCAGGGGCATGGATGGGGGTGCTGGGTAATCAGGGGGGCATAGATGGGGGTGCCAGGTAATCGGGGGCGTGGATGGAGGTGCCGGGTAATCAGTGGAGACTAAGATTTGGGGCAAGAAGGGAATAACGGGTTCAAGATTTTAGAGAAAAGGACTTGAGAACTTGGAAGAAGATGGAGTTTGGCTAAGAACCAGGGCTGGGAGACTCCATTGCCAACTAGTAGACAGTGCCTGTGACTCCCTGCGAGCTCGGGCTGGCTTCACGCCGGGGGCTAAGGAGGTCCTTTGCGCCCCTCCCAGTACCCTCAGCGACATCTCCGTCCTGAAGCTCAAGGTGGACAAGTGCTCCCGACAGGACACGGTCTTCATGAAGAAGGTAAGCAGGCCGGCCTTCCGGTCACGGCAGACCCCAGGGGGCCTGGCCTGTGGACCCCAACCTTCCCGCTGCCCCTAGAGCCGGCCTGCTCCCTCCAGGGGGCCAAGCCCAGGGTGACTGAGACTCATCCGTGAGGCGGGATCCAGGAACGCCCCTGGTGAGCCAGGCCAGGGCCGCTGGCCGTGCTGTGCCCCTGTGGCTACATTCAGGTGGCAGGTTTTGGTGCTGGTCTCGTGGGCCCCTAAACACCACTGCTGCCTGTGTCCTCTCCCTGAGAGTGTTGTGGGTACGCACGGCCGCCCTGCCCCATCCAGACGGGTCTTCCTCCCTCTCCCCCTGGCCTCTCATTCCACCCCCACCCCCCCACTGCACCTGGCACCTGTCCTCCCGGACCCCAGCACTCGCAGCAGCTCTACAGACACATCTACCTGAGCTGCAAGGAGGAGAGCAACCTTCAGAGGCACTACGAGGCGCTCTACGGGCTCCTGGCGCTGCTCAGCATCGAGCTGGCCAACGAGGAGGTGGTGGTGGACCTCATCCGCCTGGTGCTGGCTGTGCAGGTGGGGCCCAGTGGGGAGCGGGCACCGGCCCTGTCTTGGCCAAGCACTGATGACACTGCTGAGCAGCAACTGCTGGACCGTTGTTTGGGACCCCAGGAACATTGCACTCGCGGTTGGCCATTGTTCCATGAAACCCCAGACCAAGGTCCTGTTTGGGGAACCCCGAAGAATGCTGAATTCATGGCTTTGGTCCGTCCTCAAGCTGAGGGGACCCAGGGAAGAGGGTCATTCGGGCAATACCCCCTTGTTTTTAAAGATTTGTTTTAGTTAGTTTGAAAGACAGAGTTATAGAGAGAGGGAGAGAGAGAGAGAGACGTCTTCCATCTGCTGGTTCACTCCCCAGATGGCTGCAATGGCCAGAGCTGGGCCAGACCAAAGCCAGAGCCAGGGGCTTCTTCCAGGTCTCCCACATGGACGCAGGATCCCAAGCACTTGGTCCATCCTCCACTACTTTCCCAGACACATTAGCAGGGAGCTGGATCAAAAGTGGAGCAGCCGGGACTCCAGTCGGCGCCCATGTGCAATGCAGGCGTCACAGGTGGTGGCTTTACCTGCTGCACCACAGCGCTGGCCCCAGCACACCTCTTAGTCCCAGTATTCCAAGTTCTTTTGGCAGGGTCTGAGCGAGACTTCAAGGATTCACCCCCCAAAAGAGGTGCTCGTAAGCCCTGAGTGATTCCAGAACAGACTGGGGTGGGGGTCCTCTGGTCCCCAGCCTCGGCTGTGCTCCGGAAGTTACTGTCCCCCCAACTCCTAGCTTGGCGTCTCCCCAGCCTGCAGACCTGCAGTGTTTAGCAAGCCTCCTCCGTGGTTTATAGCACGCATGGCACTTTCAGGGTCTGCCTGGGTGGGAGTATATTCCCAGGGTTCTGGGGTTCAGGGTGGACCCTCAGGCCCCGCAGGCTGGGGTCTCAGGGTCTAAAGCCAGGGAGGCACCATATTCCTGAGTCACGGAAGCCTGGGGATTCAGTGACGGAGCGGCTTAGCCCCCCCCCCCTTGATTAGTGCTAAATTGTGCAGGGCTCAAGAGCCAGAATTGGGGACTCCTCTGTATCCCAGTCCCCTAGGAACTCACACGGGTTTCCCAACATAACATGCAAACCCACAATGGTGAAGGAGCCAGCACCCTCGCAGGGGGTTGGTACAGTCGGGGTCACTAACGCTGAAACTGCAGAGTAGGGAGCCCCAAGTATCTAAGGGCCTCCTGGCTCCTGGGTCCTACCGCTTTAGTGAGGACGAGCTTTGGAAGGAAGCTCTGTGGCAGAGGCTCAGAAAGGCTCGGTCTGGGGAAGTGAGCCACCTCTAAAGCAGACTGGGGAGGGGTCGGGCGGGGCCGGGGCACGTGTGTAGTGGTTGATTAAAAACCCCGGGGCCGTCTGTGCCGCCGCAGGACGTGGCCCAGGTCAACGAGGAGAACCTGCCGGTGCACAACCGCTGTGCCCTGTACGCCCTGGGCGCCGCCTACCTGAACCTGCTGAGCCAGCTCACCACCGTGCCTGCCTTCTGCCAGCACATCCACGAGGTGTGTTCCCGGAGGGCCCGGGGCCGCCCCGGCGGGCTCCAGGGGCAGCCTTCCCTGAGCCGCATTCGTGCTGGGCCTTGGACTCGGCACTGACTGCAGGAGCTGCATGTGACAGCGTTTCCCTCCCTGAGCGACGGGACGGGGCGGGCTGGGGGGGGGCACAGGGAGGACCCCTCCCCGCCTGCCTCCCGCCCCTCCATCTTAGCCTGCCGGCGACGTGCACTGACACCCGCAGATTAAGTGGGCTGAAGCCTCTTAGAGCTTTGCCATCTCACTCCCGTGTGGAAGCTCAACAAGTGGATCTCGTGGGAGTTGAGCGTGGCGTGGGGTTACCAGAGGCCGTGGGGAGGGGGGTGGGAGCGGCTGGTCCGCGGGGACGAGTTACAGTGAGAGAGGAGTAGGAAGTTCCGGGAGGGGCTGTCCCGTGATCACCAGGTACTGCACATTTCCCTTTAAGAAGAAAAGACTTGACTCCCGTCAGCCTAGAGAGATGCTCAGTGTGGGAGGAGACTGTGCCTTGCCCGTGTTTGCCTGCCCTGGAGCACCACGTGGCACTGAGAAACACGCGGCAGCAGCAGGGTGACCGGACCAGAGAGCCCTCGCGGTCCATCGTGCGGATTCCCACAGCCCTCTCCTCTCCCTTTGCTGAAACCCTGACAGCAGACCCCGGCTCTCGCGTCCTCACGCCCCGCCCGCCGTGCCAGTGCGCATGGGCCCCTCCCTCTGTGATCGCCTTGCTGTTCGCATGCATGTTAAATAGCAAATCCAAGGCAGGGCCCAGGCACGGGACGCTGCAGTCTCTTGGGAGCGACGACGTGGCCTGCGTGTGTCGTCGGTGGCAGTGGCTTCTTAGGCTGGTGCGGGGGTCCCTGGGGGTCTGGTCTCCCACTCGGGAAGCACAGCTGCAGTGGGCTCAGCGTGGAGACGTGGTCCCTGGGAGCTCCCTGTCCCTGCTGGACCCAGCTCTGACCCGGGATTCCTCTCACGCTGCAGGTGATAGAGGCGAGGAAGAAAGAGGCCCCGTACCTGCTCCCGGAGGGCGTGTTTGTGGAGAGGCCCAGGTGAGGCACCTGCCTGCAACACGGCAGCTGAGTGGGAAGGTGGATGGGCCCCGGACACCAGGGGCTTATGCGCCTGTGCAATCCGGGGTAGCAGGCGGACCCAGCCTGCGGCACGGAAGTGCTGGGTGACCCACGCCTCGAGCATGCGCAATGGTTTAAGGTTCCATGGAGCCTGATTTAATCAGAAAAGGCAGTCGCACTTCGCAGTAGGCCCTAGGGGAGCTTTGGCCACACCCACAGAAATGCATCCCTGAGCAGTGGCCCCTGACAGCCCCCGGGACGTTCTCAGACCTCAGTCAGTGCCGCGCATCAGGGTCACTTTAGAATCCCAGGAACTGGGAGAAAGACACGGGGAAAAATCGAAATGTCCCACGGTGGGTGACGGCCTCATAAACGACGGCCCCTGCACACAGCGAGTGGCCGGCAGACCGTAGCAACAGGGTTCCGGGGGAGTGTTTAACGGGAGCACTCTCTCTAAACTAGCGGCAAAACATGCCAGCGCAGTGTGGGGGAGGGGCCGTGAGCGCGCATGGAAGGATTCCGTGCAGGTGGTGGGTGGCCCTCGTCGCCGGCTCCCGTCTCGTTGCGCGGTGTAATTGGGAGCTCCAACGCCTCGTCCCCGCTTTGTCGCCCAGGCTGCCTCAGAGCCTCGAGGGGGTGGTCCTGGAGTTCCTGTTCCGCCAGAGCAAGATCAGCGAGGCCCTGGGCGGCAGCGGCTACAATTCCGACCGGCTCTGCCTGCCCTACATCCCGCAGCTGACAGGTGCGCCCCTCCTTGGCCCCGCGAGGACCTGCGTACTAAGGACTTGGGGGGGGAGGGGCTTGATGGCCTTTCGTGGCATCTTAGATGTCACCCAAGAGCCAAAAGACACAACGGAGTCTTGTGGCGAGATCCTCTTTAGTTTTCCCGCCTCTCCTCCTCGGCGTGAGACCCCTGGAAGCAGCGGCCTCATGGGGTCGTCTGGCCTGTGGATGGGAGAGGCTCCCGGGCCTGTGCACAGGCTGCAGGACCTGAGGCCCAGACCCCACTGCAGCCTACTGCCCGGGAAATCCTGGACAAGTGCCTGGCGTCCCCAAGCTTTGGTTTCCCTCACTGCAATAGGGAACTTAGCAACACCTGCCGTAGAGGGTGGGTGCAAGCGGCCCGTGAACTAACAAAGGCAAATGCGCCAGGTGAGCCCCGCGCTCTGACAGCTCCTGTGCTGTTCACAGATGACGCTTGCAGAAGCCGAGCCGAGCTGTCTGGCCACATGCAGCTCCTTTGTGGTCATCAACCATCTCAGACTCTTAAAGAGCAAAGCTGACCACCCTGAGATGGGTAGAGAAGGCCCATGGCAGTTGGAAGCCCCCATAAGCTGCAGGTGTAGCCTAAGCGGGTGCTGAGCCTAAGTGGGGAGCCGCGGGCTAAGCTGAGGCCCCAGCACGCAGAGGTGGGACAGGGGCTCAACCCCGGCTCTCCGAGGACCACGAGCCGCCGCTCTGGGTGCTGCTTTTGCAGATGAGGACCGCCTGTCCAAGAGGAAGAGCATCGGGGAGACCATCTCCCTGCAGGTGGAGGTGGAATCCCGGAGCAGCCCCGAGAAGGAGGAGGTGAGCGCCTGTGCCCGCTGTGGCTCTGCGGGGCTGGGGGCCATGAGGGTGTCCATAGCATCATCCGCAGGCCACACAAGGAAACTGGCCTGCGAGAGACGGAATTTCAAGTCCCGCCTGCAGTTGCCTTGGCAGGGCCTCATACGGCCCGCGGGCCAGCCGCTCCCCACCCCTGCCCCACCTGCACAGTGCGTTTAAGGTTACTTGGAGCGTAACTCATTAGAAAAGGGCCATTTTCATACCAGCTCTCACCATATACACGTGTCTTCAATGGGGACCTCAGCAGTTCCCCCTCCCCTGCCGCTGCCCCCATGAGCCTGTGGCCACAGTCACTCCTGGCTCACGGTGGGCAGGCACCCCCACCACGGAGGATGAGCAGACTTGAAGGTGGGAATAGCCCATACTGCGTCTCCGCCATACGTGCCAATACAGCTACTTTGATTTTTTATCAAGGCTTAGCTTTTTAGAGCCGTTTTAAGTTCATAGCATAATTAAGACGGTACAGTTTTTCTACGTTCTGGGCCCTGCACCTGCACGACCCCTCCCACCCCTGACCCCGGGACTAACTCCTGTGCCTGAGAGACAGCCCGCACTGGCGCCACCACCATGAGTCCACAGCGGACCCTGGAGGCGCGCTCAGCACCATGGACAGACGCACGGCGGTAGGTCCCCACCCTCGCAGGATCCTGCACAGACCTCTCGCTGCCCTAAACCCCCGCTGTGCTCTGGCAGGTTCACCCCGTCCCCAGGCCCACGGCCCCTCTGATTCTCTAAGGAAAGCTGCAGCAGGGTCTTCGAGGGCCCCTTCTTTCCACCCTCCCTTGAGGACCATGAAGATCTGATTTCCACTCACGGCAACGTTGCTTCTCTCCTGCCAGTATCTCTCTGCCTCAGCCGATGAAGCAGCCGTCCCCACGGGTCAGGGACCATGAGGGGTATGAGTGCCAGCAGCAGTGTCCTCCCCCAAACAAAGATGGGGCAGCCAGGGGAGAAGTGGGCTCCTGGGGGAGCTGGAGCCGCAGGCTGCACGGCCGCCTCGTTCATTGTGGGACTGCTGGTTAAAGGTGTCCGCAGAGGCACAGGGGAGCCTCCGACATGGTAGAGGGGACACGCACGGGCAGGCCCGGGACAGGAGGGCTCAGGTGGTCCTCGGGCACTGCTAGCGTGGCCTTCCTAGTTCCTGGGATAGCTTGGGGGCCAGCGTTGACCCTGAGCCTCTCCCCACTCTGATCACAGCAAAGGCGTCTCTGGGGGTTGGGATCAAGGCTTCCACCAACTGTGCCCCTCACTGCTTCGATTGTTAGGGTAGCCCTCTCATCCAGGGCTCTCAAAGCTGGCCTGGGACCTGGCTGTAGAAGGAAGGAAGCTCAGAGTCGGGCTAGCTGGATCAGTAAAATGGGGAGGTTGAGCCGGGCGTCCAGCTCTGAGAGACTGGGAACCCTCAGGCCTCCGGTCAGGTGGCTGCTGTCCCCCCCACCCCCCTGGGTGGTGAGAAGTTTGGGGACCTCAGGAAGTGATATGTGAGAGCCGAGCAGGAGGAAGAAAAGGAAAAGGCCGCATGGCTGCACTCACCTGCTCGCAAGTGGCCTGCTGGTCCCCCCGGGTCAGTGCCACTGACTTGGCGGTTGAAGCAGGGGCACAGGGACCCCCACCCCACACCCTTCTGCTCTACTACCCTCCCTTCCAGTTCCTGTGCCCTGTGTCCCAGCCCACAGTGCTCCAGTGGCCCCTGGGCCCTAAGCGCCAGGTCGTCACAGGTGACCTGTCAGTGCTGGTTCGCTCAAATTGTGGTCCGGGTCCCCGGTAGTCAGAGCCAGTGGTGGGCTGGGCTGGCCCCACTGTTCCACGTTATCCACCTTCCTGCCCTGGCGTCCGTCCTCGGCCTGCTCCGGGGGGTCTGCTCCCTGTCTCCCCTGCGTCTCAGTCATCCCCTGCCTTTGCTCGTGCACGTGGGCTGTGTCGGAACCGCCCTGCAGCCCTACATGGGCGCCATTCATCAGCCCAGCTCGTGTTCCCTTCCCGCACACACTTCTACCTGCGCTTGTCCAGTGGGCACCTTTTCCCTGTGCCCCGACCGCCCCCAGCACCCGATGTCGGCCAGTGCTGCAGTCACCGGCCGGGGTCCAGAATCCTCAGAGCCCCTTAGATCTCCGCGCAGCTCTCTGGCCTGCGGACTGAGCTCTTGTGACCTAATCCTCCATTTCCTGTTTTGTTTTATTTAAAAAAGGCTGAATTCACTTTATTTTTCTTGTGTAGACTGTGCTGTAGCCACAGCTGAAGCCTCAGTCCCCTGCCCAGACCCGCGGCCGTGGTCTTTACAAGGTGGTCGGTGAATTCCTGATAGGGAGTTCACGGACAGTCTCTCCAGAGGTCTTGGAGACGGCGTGAAAGGTGGCCTCGGCAAAGCTGCCCAGGCGGCATCGGTGCCAGCCGGCAGCCAGCAGCCGCTCCTTGGGGTGGGGCCAAGACGCTGCCGGTGTCTCCAGGGGAGGGGGGGATGAGGTGCACCAGCACGGAGCCACAGCCTCCGGTCACCTGCAAGGTGTGGTGTGGGGCTCGGCCGTTGTGTTCCCCCGAGGTGTCCACATGGGCACAGTGGAGAGCTTGGCCGGGAAGATGGCCCCCAGGTGGTGGCACTGCCTCCTTGGAGCACCTCACACCCAGGCCTGATGAGGACAAGTGCCTTGAACGTGGTCCGCGCCGGCCAGTGCACACCTGCCTTTACGTCAGGATAGCCTTCAGAACATCACCCAGAGGGAGGCCCCCCGGGAAAGAGCCAGTGATCTCAGACTCCCCGGGGGCCGGGAGGAGACAGGGCTCCCCCAGGGACTTGGTCTTCATGTCCTTGGCCAGGAGACCCAGCCTGGGACGGGGCCACACCGTGTCCTCAGCTCCACGGCCTCTGCCCCAGCCCCTATCCCGACCCTGGCCACGCTGCAGCCCGGGGGCCAGCACCGAAGCCTAAGAAGAAGCCGCTGTGGCCTCCTGGGCGCCAGCGTCGGCCGCCATTCAGCGTTCTCTGTTCTTGGAGGAGGAGCCACTCCTCACTGCTTACCCTCGTGAAGTGCTCGGTCACCTGGGACGACTCCACGTCCCAAGCCTTCAAAGTTACTGACCTCAGTCTTTTTTATTTTTTTTCTTATGACAGTGTACTCCTCCCACGGGACTTGGTGGGACAGGCTTGGGGAGGGGGCGGGGCAGCGAGCCCTCTTGGGGGAAACTCGGGCCTCTCTCCTGAGCCCCAATCTGATGCGGAATCAGCTCGCGGGCGTCCTCAGGGAGCTCCCGGCAGGAGTGGGGTGTGCTAGGAAACAGAGGGGCCGGCGGACAGTCAAGGAAGCCGGGGCCCCTCCTCCGGCCCACCCCGGCCCCCGCCCCCGCTCCCGCTCCCGCTCCCTGTCCTCTTTCTGAGCATGCCCACCTCGTGTCTTGCAGCGCGTGCCGGCCGAGGAGATCACGTACGAGACGCTAAAGAAGGCCATCGGTAAGCCCGGGCCCTGGGGGTCTCCACCCGCAGGGCGGGGTCTCCACGCGCAGAGCCGCAGCCCGCCACAGTGCTCTCAGCAGGTGGCCTCCAGCCGGGAGTGCTGGCCCTGCGTCCCACGTCAGGACCCTTTCCTCCCTGATGTCAGCTGATGATGAGGGAATCGGTGAGGGTCCCAGCTTTGTTCTAGAATCGTCTGGACTCTTTGTTTTTAGTTCAGTGTGATACAGATCAGCTTGACCAATGAAAGACAATAACAGACCAAAGTAGGAAGGACGTCAAAAAGCTCCAGCTTCCTGCTAACGCGGACTCCGAGAGGCAGCAGGGACGGCTGTCCGGTATGGGGAGGGGCCTGGACCCCATAGCTCCCAGCTTCAGCCTCTCGATAAATGAATTTTAAGAACGATGAGGTCTCGGGCTGGCGCTGTGGTGCAGTAGGCTTCGGATCAGCGCAGCTCCGGTCCTCGTGGCCATTTTGGGGAGTGAACCAGCAGATAGGAGACCTTTTTCTCTGCCTCTCCCTCTCACTATCTGAAACTCAAAATACATAAATAACATCCTTTAAAAATAAATAATTATGTATTTCTTCTCGGCCTTTTGGCTAAGATCAAGTGTAAAAATAAAATAATTAGGAGATCTACACATTTTTTCATAATATGCATTTTCCACACACTTTCTGAAGTGCCCTCCTATTCATTTAGTAGCCATTCAAACGCCCTGGCAGCTCATTTCTCTGGGTTGTTGGGCAAGGAATATTCCCAGGAGACTCTTAAACACCACCCCTTTCTGTCTCTGCTGTCTTCAGCGTTACTCTGTCTGAATGTGACTCCACTTGCCTTCGTACCCAAGCATGATGAACGCACTTAACCCTCCCACTCGCGTGGGGTGCCAGGTGGTGACTGCTGCTTAGGGTCTCTGTGTCAGCCTTCGTGGTCTGTGTGGTTTTTCCATTGTTGATGTCCCTTTTTAAATTAATGCCAGAGCCTCAAAGGACCAGGTGTTCTAGGACCTTCTGTTTAAGAGTCCTGTTGGCAGTGCAGCTGCTTGGGGCTTTAAAAGTTCAGCCTAAGGGTCCCCTTAGCTGAGTGTCAGGGGAGAGGGCTGAGCTTCAGGCAGAGTTGAGAATAGGCCTGGAGTTCCCAGTGCCCAGGGAGGGGGCGCCTCCGTCCGCGCTTCCCTCAGCCACGGGCCAGGCCGGGCAGCGGTCATGGCGCTGTCCCCTGGAGGAGTCCGCCCCCGCCTGTCTCCCTCCCCGGGGGCCCGGATGTGAGTGCTGAGCCTGCTCTGTTTCCCAGTGGACAGCGTGGCGGTTGAGGAGCAGGAGCGGGAGCGGCGGCGGCAGGTGGTGGAGAGGTTCCAGAAGGCGCCCTTCGAGGAGATCGCCGCGCACTGCGGGGCCCGGGTGAGCGAGGCGGCCCTGGGCTCCTGCGGCTCAGGTGGAGGCCGAGTGTGGGTCCGCAGCGGGAATGCGTCTCTAGGAGATCTTGTCTCTCTGGGCCCCTGAAATTAGGGTTTCGATTCCAACCCAGAAAGCTCTGCTGTTGCCCCCTCGGGTTCTCCCATGTCCCGGCACTGCACTGCTGCCCCCTGAGCCAAGACACTTGGCTATTGGTCGCACCATCTTCCAGACCCCACAATGCACACGTAAGGGAGAAGTCCTGACCTGTGGCGAGTGTGTAAACACTCATGTGCCAGGGCGTCTTTCCTGTATTGGCGCGTGGCAGTGTCACGGTAGCCCTTAGCCCAGTGAGCCTGTGGGCCTCACACTGGGGGGGGGGGGGGGGCGCACGGCAAAGACGAGGTGGCCAGCGCTGGCAGCAGCACCCTCACAGCCAGGCGCCTGGCCACGGGGGACGCTCTGCAGGAGAGGCCGCCAGCAGCAAGTGTTTGGTGCAGTGGCTAAGATGCCACTTGGGGCAGGCACGTCCCATATTGGAGTGTGTCTGTTCAAGGGTTGGCTCTCCTCCCTCTTTTTTTTTTTTTTTTAAGATTTTATTTATTGGAGAGGGAGAGGGAGAGAAAGAGATCTTCCATCTGTTGGCTCACTCCCTAGATGGCCGCAACGGCCGGAGCTGCGCCCATCTGAAGCCAGGAGCTTCTTCTGGTTCTCCCACATAGATGCAGGGGCCCAAGGACTTGGACCATCTTCTGCTGCTTTCCCAGGCCATAAGCAGAGAGCAGGATCAGAAGTGGAGCAGCCGGGACACGAACTGGCGCCCATACGGGATGCCGGTACCGCAGGTGGAGGCTTAGCCCACTATGCCACAGCGCCTGCTCCTCTCCTCCTCTATTACCTTCCTGCTAATGCAGACCCTGGGAGGCAGCAGGTGATATAACTCAAGTAGTTGGGTCCCTGCCACCGCCATCAGAGGCCCAGATTGGATTCCCAACTCCTAGCTTTGTCCTAACCCAGCCCTGTTGTAGGCATTTGGGGAGTGAACCAGTAGGATTTCTCTCTCTCCCTCTCCCTCTCCCTCCCCCCCACCCCTGCCTCTTTCCCTTATAAATGTTATTTTTTAAAAAAGAAAAAAGAGCGCACCCAAGCAAGTAGAAATGAGGACCCATGGCAGATGCGAGGACCCGTCCAGCACTCTGGAAAGTGATGGCACGCCGGGATTCGTTAGGCGCAGTGTCAGTCAGGGACAACGAAACATCATTGCTAAACATTCAAAATAACTCCTCCTCTCAGTAAAAATAGAATCCGCATCATTTTCCATCTTATAGATTACATATATCCTGTATATGAGACTACTTAGAAAAGTTCATGGAAAATGCCATTAATTGATAAGTTTGGGGTAGACATTGCTGTCCAGTGGGTTAAGCCTTCACTCGGGACGCCCACTTCCCATATGGGAGTGCCTGGTCTGGGTTGCTGCTACTCTCTGCCTCCAGTTCCACTCCCTGCTAAGGCACCTGGGAGCCAGCGTCTACCTGCAGTGGGGGCCCAGCGGGCAGTAAGTGCTGGACATGAGCTCAGCCCTGGTCGCCTTCCCAAGGCTGCAGAGAGGCAGGTGGGCCCCGGAGGAGGCCGCAGCTCACGCCCTGCTCTCTGCTTGTGTCTAGGCGTCCCTGCTGCAGAGCAAGCTCAATCAGATCTTCGAAATCACCATCCGGTAAGTGCATCTCGGGCGGGCAGCCTGGGGACCCCTTGTCCCTCGTGGTCCTCACACACCTGTGTTCAGTTCTGCCCCCAGCCCTGCCGCCCCTGTCCCTGGGGCTGGAGCGAGCCACCAACTCCCCAGACAAGGAACTAGAGACCTGAGAGGGAAAGAGCCGGGCGTCCCGGTGCCCCGGGCTGGCGCCCTACTCTGTAGAGCAGCAATGGAAGTGTGACGTCAAGCTGTAGATTCTAGAACAGTGTGACGGCCTGGGAACCCAAGGGGTGACAAAGTCTTAGCCCCTGTGCAAAGAGAAGCCCGGGTCAGCTGCTCTGTCCAGCTGCATGGCACGGGGACCCCAGGACCCCTTCCTCAGCCTCTTTCCCCTTCTCTTCCTGCCCCCAGGCCCCCACCCAGCCCTTCGGGAACCATCACCGCCGCCTACGGGCAGCCGCAGAACCACTCCATCCCCGTCTACGAGATGAAGTTCCCTGATCTGTGCGTGTACTGAGCTCCGGACACGGAGCCCCTCGGGGGCTGGGGTCTGAGGAAAGGGCCCACCCTCAGGCCTAGCGCCCCCCCACCCCACGGGGCCCGTGGGGCCTCAGGGCTCCACTGAGGAGAGGCAGCCACCCGCTCCCGGGAGGGCCCTGCCTCCTTTGTCCTCAGCCTGGTCCGCCGGGCCGGAGAGGGGCCCTGCTGGACGCCTCAGGTGTGACGGCGGGGGCACAGTTGTCATTCCCACTGGGGAACCGGACAGACAGAGGAAGCATGGACCCCGGCGGGAGGAGCCGGGGAGAGGTCCGCGCGGCGTGGCCCAGCTCCCGCCTTGCTGTGCTGTCCCCGCTCTGTGCTCACCCTCCAGCTGCCCGCCCGCGTCTTCCTGTTAGGCTGCAGCAAGAGCGCCCCTGCGTGTCCCTCGTGTACCTCGGGGCGTCTCCCCACGTCTCTGTTCAGAGCAGGCTTGGGCGGGCTAGGGCCCTCCCCGGCTCTCTCCCTCCTGGACTTTTCCCTGAATTGGGTCCCCTCTTCCAGGGATCCCAAAGGGTTTCTGTGGCCCTGGGCTGCAGGAAGGCAGAACAAGACCGTCTGGTTCTAGATGACTCAGAGCTGGGGAGGTACTGCCACCCCAGGGCCACCTCCCGCGGAAGGGGCTCCCGGCCTAGCCTGGGGCGGGGGGGGGGGGGGGGCTCGCAGGGAGGGCAGGGGAGGGGGTGTGGGACGAGTGCTGCTTTGGGACCCGAGGATGTCAGAGGCAGCTTCCTGGACGTCTGACTTGAGGACGGAGGCTCCTGCACCTGCTGTGGTCCGGGACGTCCGTGCCAGCGGCAGTACTCGTGCCTGGGGAGAGGCAGCCAGCAGAGACCCGCTCTTGGGTTCCGGGTTGCCTTTCCACTGGGTGCCGCCTGTCTGTCCCCGTGTTACTAGCGACGGAGAGAGGAGCTGAGGAACCCTGGGAGAGCGCGAGGGAGTCGGCTGCTGCCTTCCGGTCCTGCCTCCAGCTGCCTGTGTGTCCCCTGAGCCTCCCCGCCTGGCCCTTGCCTTCGCTTCCAGTGCAGCCCCCCCCACCCCCCACCACAACCCCGTCACTTTCCCAAACGAGTGGGCACTCTCCCCTCGCCAGAGAATTTGCTTTTTTGCAAAGAGGGAGGACGAACAGATTTGTTAGCCCAAGGGAACCCCCTTTGGGGCAGTGTGGAATGAGGTCAGAACATGGGGTTTCTGCTGAGGGGAGGGCAGGCTTCCCGGGGTTCCCCCAGATGGTGCCCCTGCACCTGGCCCTGCAGGGAGCGTGGCTGGGAGCCCCGTGACTAGGGGACAGGGTGTACGTTCCACAATCAGGGAGAACCTTGACACGTGGATTTCCGCATTACGTGTGCAATAAACTTCTTGGGGATGGGCCGCCTGCCGCTGGTCCTGTGGCTTCCGCGCTGCAGACACGGGATCGCCTGTGTGTGGCCCGCTCTCCGCCATGGCTGTTCGGCTGTATGGCTTTTGGCTTGTACTTAACTCCAAGCATGAATTTAGATCTCCCTTTGATATCTCCTTATTAAGAAGCCACATTCAAAACAGCCACATCTGCAGGCAAACAACCTTTGGAAGAAGCAGAAGAAAGTCTAAACCTTGAGCCCCCGACAGGTCCCTTCCCCCGTGGCTCTCCCCGTCCTGTCCTCCGCTGGCTTTGAGGAGAGGCCCTGGGTTTCTAGCGGCATCCACTGATGTCAGATCCCGGGGGGCCTGGTCCTGGGACTTGGAAGTCACTTCCCTGGACTAGAGGCACGCTCCGACGTGGCGGTCCCTCACCCCCATCCTGGGAGCAGAGAGGGCGGTGCAGGTCCCCGTTTGCACAGCCTGCCTGCTGCTGCTTCCGCAAACGTGTGCTCCCAGGAGAGAACAGGCGTCTTTTGTGTCCTCTTCTGGGTGTGTTGAAATTTACACTTGGTAGCATATCAGGCTGCCTGCTGACGTGGAGTGGGGTCTGGGTTCTGGCCGACGTGCCTTGGAACCAGAATATTTTAAGCTGCATGTTCATGAGCACAGACAATGAAGCGGTAAATGAGGCAGCCCGCTCGCCCCGCCTCGCCCCGCGTCCTGGAAGAGAGGCTAAACAGAGTGGATGGAACGCGGAGGGAGCAAGGCGCCCACCGGGGCCCCACCCCTCGCAGTACCCTGCCTTCCCAGCCCCCCACACCCCCACCCCCACCCCGCGTCTGGCGACGCCGTCTCCCGTCCTTTTCTACGCTCCTCTGCTGTGGTTTCGAGCCAGAAGGCGCTGGCCCGTTCAGTCCAGCAGCTCCCAAAAGCCACTTGAGGACCCCGGCTCTGTGGCGAGGGGCGGTTGGTTGGGGCTCCGCGGGAGAACTTCGTGGGTGTGAGTGCCGGGGTGTGGAGGATCTGGCCACTGGGTCGGGTCGTGCACGAGAAGCGGGTCCATGGGAAGCAGCACCAGCAAGGCCCTGGAGGCCCCTTCGGGTTTCCTTGCGCTGGGGTCCCCCTGCGCCTGTGCTTGTTTGTCCTCTGTCGTTGAAAAGTAGGAACAAGTGGCTTCTTGACACCTAAATGCCCCCCTTGCCAAAGAAGGCAGGAGAGCAGTCGGAAGTGGGCAGGTCCCCGCACACTTCCCAGCACCACGCCCCGAGCAGTGGCATGAGCAAGGAGGATGAGCAAGGAGGGCGGGCCTGGGGCTGAGCGTGTCAGCCCTCCATCTGCTGGCTCGCAACAGGCTCGGAACTGCCTTGGGGCTGCTCTGATGGCGGATCCTGGGGCCACAATGCTTTCCGGTTGCCATTCCAGTGTCCCCAGGCCCTCCAACCTGGGTACTGACTAAAGAGTGCTGTTGAGAAGTAAGGCAACTTTCCCAACTCCTCTTGCAACAGGAAATGGCAGCTGGGTGCTGGGCTGGTAGGTTAAGACAGGGTCAAAGGTCATCCCCTTTAGCCCACATGTGGCCCGGGCCTGGGGGCCGCAGGAGGAGGGGCGTGGTGGCCCTGTGCTGGAGCCTGTGTAACAGGGAAGGGGTGAGAAGGGCGCCCTGGGCAGCAGGCACCCTGCTGGGGCCAGAAGGCAGTTTCCTATGGTCTCCCAGCTGACCGAGCGTCTGCTTGGGGGGATCACGGGCCTCCCGAGCCCATCACCTCCCCCTTTGCACTGTTGACCAGGCAGGTGGAGCACACAGTGTAAATCCACAAATGCTGCAGCCCATGCACTGTCACTCGTCTCCGTCCCTTAGACCCTCGTGACCGGGTGAGAGTGTGTGTACGTCTAGGACAGCTGGTGTATTTATATGTGAGTGCAAAACTAGTGCCCGTGGCAGTTTTCTGTGTTTCGCACTTGTTGAATCTGCTTGGTTTTACCTGAGGGAAGGGGGGAGAGGGGGAGTGGGCGAAGGCTAGGAAGAAGTCTTAGCAACATCATTCTTAGGATGACACGTCACAATTTCCCATGAGCCTTCACGATGCCCTTTCCGAATAAATGTTACTGTGGTCACCACATGGCTGTCGATTGGATTCCTTTAGGGTAAATGGTTTTTTGAGATAAAAACAGAATCTGAGAATACCAGCCGTGCACACTGGCACTTAGCAACCCCGGCAGCCATCACCTCATCTGCGGCTGCGACGGACACCCCGGCCCAACCTTGCTGGCACGGAGCACCCTCGGCTAGGAACGCCCAGGCTGCACCCCATCCCAGCCCTTGTCACAGAGCCCACCCTGGGGCGCGCCTGCAGCCTCCCACGCTCCCGCTCCCCCGGGACTCCCCGGAGCATGAAAGTAAGAAGAGGGAGTTGGGGGAGGCTTCCCAGCCGACCGTGACCTCTCCCGCCCACTGGTGTGTCTGGCGATGGTGACCCGGATGTGTGCCTGTCTACATGTATCCATGAGCCTTGTGGGAGTTGTCTGTGTGTGGCCCCAGCACTGAAGCCACCACTGGGAGATAGAAAAACAACATGTACATGGCCAGCGCAGTAGGGCCGCCACCTGCTGCGCCGGCATCCCACGTGGGCACCAGTTCACGTCCCAGCTGCCCCACCTCCTATCCTGCTCCCTGCTAAAAAAGCAGCAGGAGATGGCCCAAGTGCTTGGGTCCCTGCCACCCTCACGGGAGACCTAGAAGCAGCCGCTGGCTCTGGCCTGGCCCAGTCCCAGCCAGTGCAGCCATCTGGGGAGTGAACCAGCAGATGGAAGACTTTCTCTCTCTCTCTCTCCCCCCCCCACCCCCCTGCTGTAACTCTTTCAAATAAAAATAAATCTTTAAAAACCCACACACACCACCACCACCACCACCACCTGCTTCTGCCCTCACAGAGCCTGGCCTTGCAGACACACAGTAAGGCGCCAGCCAGAGAGCAGGCCGGCTGCAGCGAGAGCGGGCTGGCAGCTGCAGGACTCGGCGGGCAGGGGCTGACCTAAGCCTGGACTCAGGTGGCAAACAGCCTCATTCAGCATGGCAGGGGGAGGTGCGGGAGCCCTGCAGGGAAGAAGTTGGTGGGGAGAGGAGCCGGGCCTTCATCCGGGGTACCTTGGGGCAGGCGCCTTGGTAATGAGTGCGAGCAGAGTGACTGGCACCCTGGGTGCCATGCCCAGGGGTGGGGATGGATGGGAAATTGGGAAGTGGGGGTGCTCTTTGGTTCTTGAGCCAGCGGATGTGGAGAAAACAAGATTTTTGCGCACATCGCTCTGAGGAATCTGTGTAGCACGGGTGTGGCAGGAGAGCCACTAGAGGCGGGTGGGGAGTGAGGATGAGGGCTGCAGCCAGGCCCGGGGAGGGAGGGAGGGGCCCAGTCCAGCCGGGGGCGAGAGTCGGAGGGCCTGCAACAGGTGTGTGTGTGTATGTGTGTGTAGGGGAGACGTGAGGCCACACCCACACTCAGCTCCCCAGTGATGAAAACGCCCACAGCCTGCGCCCCGACAGCGAACCCGGCAAGGGGGGTGGGGTGGACACGGAGCGGCTCCGGGGCCACCAGCCAGGCTCCCCGGGCGCTGGGCTTGGCGCCGCGGCTCGCGGTCTACACTCAGAGCCGGAGGCAGTGTGAAATGGGAAAACGGGTTTATTTCCTAAGGACAGGCGGCGTGGGGAGGCGGCGCTCACGGGCCCTTCTTGTGCGCGTTCTTGACGATGGCGTTGCGGAACAGCGTCACCAGCGGCGTCTGGCCCTTCTCCGACGACATGAAGCCGCCGTAGCGCTTGTCCTTGGGCCGGCTGCCCCAGCGGAAGTGCTCCATCCTGTAGGGGCCCTCATCCTTCTTCTCGGCCGCCGCCACCAGGCCGTACTCCGGGTCCGCGTCCTCGGCCGGGCCGTCGGCCAGCTCGCGCTTGACCTCGACGGGGAAGGCTTCGGCCGACTCGTTCTCGGCGCCGTTGGGGTACACCTTCACCGGGCGCCGCTTCTTGCCCACCGGCTTGCCCCAGCGGAAGTGCTCCATGGAGTAGGAGCGCTTGCCCTCGCGCGGGCCGGGCTCGGCGCCATCGCCGCGGTCCCCGGCCGCCGCGACCTGCTCCTGCTCGCGCTTCTGCCCCGCGCCGCCGCCGCTGCTGCCGTTCCGGCGGCCGAAGCGGTCCCAGCGGAAGTGGCCCATGACGTACCTCCGGGGGCTCTCGGTGAGCGGCTGCGCGTCGCCGTTGCCGGGGAACACGGGCGTCTCGGCCGAGCGGTCGAGCTGGCAAGCGCGGAGGCACTGCTGCGGGGAGAGCGAGGCCGTGAGCCCGGGCGCGGCGACAGCGACGCGACCAGCGCGTGGCTCGCAGGCACACACCCCTGCGACCACTGGCGGGGCTGGTCTGTGCCCCCGGGGCGCGTGGCCGCGGTGTCGCTAGCAGGCACGCACCCCGACGACCACCGGCGACGCCCAGCGCGCTCTCGGTGGGTGGCCTGTGCCCGTGGCTCTTGTGGGCAAGGCCAACGCTTTGCCTGAAAGGAACTGCCCAGAAGGGCAGGTGGAGGGTGCTGGGGGGTGGCACTTACTGCTGAACCAATGAATACGTAAATACCGGGCAATGGAGGACTGGGAGCATTGCGGGTCTGGCGGGGGAGGGTCCTGCGTGCTCAGTACCCCCCAGCCCTATCCCTGCTCCAGGCCCTTCCCCTGGCTTTCAGGGAGCTGATGGCCCCATCCCCTTGCCGACACAGAGCGGCTCACTTCCCTGTCGCCTCTCTCTGGCCCGAGGGAGAGCCGCGTGGAGCCCGGGCCTCTGCTCCCTGTCCACAGAGGGCTCGACTGTGGTCCGTTTTGCTTAGCAAGGTGACCGCATGGCTGCAGCCTGGAGATTTCTGTCACTTGAAAGCTTACAGAGGAGAAAACAAAACGTCTGGGTTCAGCGGACTTTCCCACCCCAGGGATTTACCATTCGGGATGCACAGACGGGAGCAGTAGCAAATAAAAACTGAGGCAAACGCCCTCCCTGGACCGGGCATGAAGCGGGAGGCGCAGGCCCGAGCCCCCCAGCGTGAGGCAGCACAGGTGGCCCTGAGTGCGTCCGGGGCACCTTCCCCGGGTGAGCTCTCCCGGGGCTGTCTCCTGGTCTCTCGGGACTGGAACTCACGGACCCCCGGGCGTCCTGCCCTGCTTTATGTCACACGTGCAGCCTGCCCTAACTCCACCTTCACTCGGCTTCTCCACAGACGAAACACAATGCAGCAGTGTGCATTGCACCCCTGATTGGCAGGTGCCAGCGTGTGCACGCACGCGCACACACACACACCCACCCACACACACACACCCCTGCCAGCACATGTAACTACTGGAAAGATCAAAGAGGCGCTTAGCAGAAGGCCAGCCTTCCAGAAGCAGCGTGAGACACCGGGTACCAGTTACCCCAAAAAAAGGGTACCTTGGTTTTTCCTTCTCCCTCTAAAGACCCTTCGTAGAGCTACCGCTCTAGCTTTGTAAATGGTAGTAGATAAAAGGAGAAGAAATACAAAGGGGAAATGGCAAGGAACATGCGGTTCTTGGAGACAGAATAATGCAGAGACTGTGAGGTTAAAATACAGGACTGAGGGAGCCGCTAACATTACTAGGACACTGTCTCTAAATGAACAATCAATCAATCAATAGTGTCCAAAGAAGACAGGGCAGAGGGGAAGGATGACCAAGCAGGACCTGCGGGGCAGACCCATCTCCCTGGAGCTGCTTCCACCACGCCTCCCGCCCCCGCCCCCGCCCCAGCACAGCCCGAAGCTCGTTCTGCTCCTGCCGGGTTGGGTCAGCCCTGTCACTGGGAAGGAACTTCCCTTCCCCACGCTGCTGCTTCTGAGCTGTCGCGGCTCCAGTCCCATCTGATGCCCAAGTCAAGATGGCAGTGACGGCGCACGTACCAGCAGGTGGCTTTCCGTGGTGAGCTCCTGACACTGGCTGCTCTCCAGGCACCAGCCACGCACTTCCATGGAGGCCTGAAGCAACACGGCCAGCAGCAGAGCCCCCGACCTCAGCATCTTCCAGGCAGGCTGCGGCTCTGCAGAGGCAAACAAGATAGGCGGGACCCCTGCGAGGAGCAGAACAATGTTGGCCACTCACCAGGAAGGACCAGGAGCCAACAGCAACAACGCACTCGCTTGTGGAGTTCAAGGCTGTTTGAGGACAGGAGCAGAACTGAGGACAGGGGGAGACGGGCAGCACTAATTCCAGCACTCCAGGTCCAAGGACTGGGAATAACTCAGGGAAGGCAAAATTCCTGCCCAGGATCCCCCCCCCCTCCTCTGGGAGTCACCATTCCTATGAGGTTTGATTCCCAATGAATGTGAAGTTTACACAAATGTCATTAAAACCGCTGGTGAACTTCGGCAGGATCTCAAGCAGACAGACTTCAGGTACTGTACACAAAGCACTCGGGTGCCCTCCATGTCTCCAGCCCCAGAGGCTCTGGATAGATTCGTTTTTAAAGCAGAATCCAGGTCTTTAAAAGCAGCTCAGCTTCTGAACACATCATATGGGAGAGCTCTTGTCTTGGGGTCCCTCAAATGAGGTCTGAGATATGAGGTGTCTTCAAAACATGCATGAGCTTCCGCAATTTTTGTGGGGCATCAAAATATATTTCTCATTCCACTTTTCCACAAACTTTTCAAATTACCCTTGAAGCTGGAGTTGAGGAAGGTGAAGGAATCCAGGGAAAGAGGTTGGACAGACAGACCTCAAAGGAACCGCCTCCCGGTGTGCTGTTTCTAGAGAACCAGGGAGCACCCTTGGGCGTGCTAAGTCGAGGGGTTGGAGTGCACCTACAGCGCCTTCCCCCAGTGCCAGCGGCTGCCATGCTGCCTGCCCCCCTGCTCACAGACTGTGATGAGCTCATCACCGACCCTATGGTCATTTTGGATTCCAGAAGATTCTCTCAGCCAGCTGTTAGGAAGAAACCTAATTAGATGGGAAAAGCAATTCGCATTAAGGGGAGGGTGACTCAGTGTCTTGTGACATAAAAAATTACCTAAAAGAAATCTATGATTTGGGGAGGTGTGGACCAAATATTTGGATTTGAGAGTCGCCCCGGCCCTCGCGTCTTTCATCCTGCCTGACCCCCATTCCTTTCTCCCAGCTCTGGACCAACTCAGGGATCTCTTCTGAACGCTGGCCAAGCAGGGAGTTTTCGAAGCAGCCATTAGATGGCGCTGGCAGCCAGAGAGCTGACCCGGTATGGCCTCTGCCCAGGGAGAAACAGGGAGAGCAAGCGGTGTCCAGCCTGGGTGCTCCTGCCTAGCCAGGGACAGGCTGCTCCAGTTCCCATACACAGCCTGTGGCTGCTGGAAAGGGCAGTTACGTTAAAGTTCTGAGGCCACACCGTCCATGTAGATCAGAAAAATGCCTGAGTGTCACAGGAAAGGCAGAGAGATGGCAGATAGAGGTGCCGTCATGAGCAAGTGCAAAGCAGCACCTTAATGGAGCAAAAGAACAAGATCACACAGGCCTGGCAGTTACCACGACCCTATTTCAGTTCTCAGACCTGGCCATTCTGGGATGACTTCCGCTTTCCAAAAGCCGAGGTGACGACACACACCTTCCAAGAAGCCCGCAGAGAGCACTCCTTTCTCTCTGCCCCCTGCTATAGCCACACCACACAAGGTGACACCCCTGTCACTCCCCACCCTCTCCGAGCTCCTGCTCTATCGCTGCAGACTTAGGTGGTTTTCTGAAAGCAAACTGTTTGGGTTCTTGCTTATGCATATCTTCCATTTTCCTACAATCATCAGCAAATAGTATCTTATTTGTGCCACTTTTTAAACAGCAACAAAATACCATGCAAATGTCAAATGGTGTTATTTTTGTAAGGAGGGACAGCATTATAACCCAATAAAGGAAAGTCTTGGTAATCCCATCGCCAAAGTTTCCTGGAAAAATGGAAACTTGGAATTTGCTCTTCTGGATGTTAACTTTGAGATAGACCCACACTTGTTAGAACTTCAGGAGGGCAGGGTCTCTGTGAACTGAACAAGACCTTTAGTTTGTGGCTTTAAACCTTCCCACCAGCCATGCCGTTCTGCAAACATGGGGGAGCTGCTGGGCTCCTTGTGTCCTTGCACAAGGACAGGCCTGCTTCAGGTCCTATTAACAAAAGGGCTAAGGAGTATTGAGTCATGAAATTAGCTGCCCTGTGCACACTTTATAACAAGAACGAAGGCACACTTTTCCTTTGCTCCCAACAGCCTTTCTGTGAGAAGCACCCCCGCCCTGTTAACACAAGAGGAGTTTGGAGACCCAGAGTGCTCCGCGGACAGTCCCCCCACCTGTCCCCCTCGCCTCCCGGGAGTCGCCCCTTGTCCGAGTCTCGCTCAGGTCAAGCCCGAGTCTGCTGGGTCGAGGTGTGCTCCGTCGGAGCGCGTCCCAATCGAGAGCGAGCGAGTCAGGACCTCGGACAGCTCCCGGGCGGCCACCCGGTTTTAACCCTGGCTGGGGCTGGAACAGGAGGGACTGTCCCGTCTTGTAATCGTGCAGTTTCCACAACTCAGCCGTGGCCAAGGTGGGCAGGGAAACGAGGACTCAAAGTCTGAATCCGAAAAAGAAAACCTGGAACGAGGAGCGCTGACCGTGACTTCTTGCCTTGTCTCTCCTGCCCGCACTTCCGATGTGAACCTGCGCTAGAGGGTCCGGGATCCTGCTTCCAAGTAGTGACAGCACCCAGAAAGTCGGGAGGAAGAGGAGCCGAGAAATCAAGATCTCCCCAGAGGCCTCGGGTGTCAGTCGGGGCGCTGGCCACCCACTGCCCCGGGAGACCCCACGCCGCCGTCCGCAGCGCAGAGCTCCCAGGCCCCAGGATGGGGTGCCCGGTGAAGTGCGGGTCTCACCTGTCGCAGGGAGGCCGCTCTCCGGAGACGAGGGTCCCTTCTCCTCCCCTCTGTCCTGCTTGGCGCAGCCTCTTGGTCCCCGTCACACTCCAGGCTCCTTATATACTTGCAGGGCTCGCGGGGAGAGCGCTTCTGTGGCGCCAGGAGCGAGTGACTCCCAGGTCGGGGGAGGGGTTGGTGGTGCGCAGGCGGGGGGCTTCCTGGTAGGGGCTCGGCCGAAAGCCCGGAGGCTGGAATTAGCACGGCCCTGGCGAAGGACGCACCTGGCGACCCGCTGTCCGGAAGAACTTAATTACCGAGGGGCTGGGGCTCCACTTAGGGCGAGCCGGAGGCTTAGCACCTTGGTGTGGGGCAGGCCTGGGGCGCCTCTGAGGTCTCGAGGCGAGGGTGAAGGGGCCTGCGTGCTGGGACTGGCATCTGCCTCCTTGGCGTTTGCAGGTAAATGTCACCGCGGAGAGAGTGCGTGGGTTACGCCTCAGATTTCCGCCTTTGGACACCTGATGTAGATGTCGCTGGCAATCAGTCTCTCTCCTCCACTGTGGGGAGGGAGGGAGCAGGGGTTGGGACAGGTTGCCCTCTTGGAGGTTGAGGTGGGTTGTAGTGTCCCCTCATTCCTTCTCCCCGGCCCTGCTTTCCAAGTGCAAAGCCCATTTGTGCCCCAACCACAAGTGGACGTGCCCTTAACCTTGGACCTTTAACTGGGAGGGGGTGGCCTCTGATCACACTGTGGCTGGGAGCTGGCAGAGCGGCCGGGAACTCTCAGACACCTACGCTTGCAGCCCGGACCCGAGGTGCCCAGCTCGCTTTAGTCCCAAGTGTTAGGTCAGGAAGAGTTCACCACTGATGCTGGCAGGTGAGAGACTCTAACCCGCAGGAAAGACAGACAGAATTCCCAGTGACAGCGGGTGAGGGAGGAGTACTGGGGCTGCCTTGAACTTCAAACAAATCGAGGTGCCGGCTTCACCTCCGACTGCAGGAATTTCCTCCGCTCCCAAAGAGACGTTTCTTCTCGACTCCACGGCTGCCTTGAGAATTCGGCTTTTCCAGTTGGTGACATTGACTCAACACAGCAATCCTTGCCTTTTGGGTGGTAAGAGAGACCCACACTTGTTGATGGTGAGCAACCTGCCCCATCACCTGACTTTGACCTTGGCCTCTTCCCAGGACCAGCCCCCAGGTCTCCATCTCCATCATGCATCCCAGCATCTCCGCCATTGCAACATTCACGCAGAGCCCCACTAGGTTGTTCCTCCCACTGCAGCTCCCTTCCTGTCTCCAGCCACCCAGGAAACCTGGACTCAGCCATCATCACATGTTCCCTAAAGCTCTCTTTGGCCATCTCTTCCAACTGGGGGCGTGACACAGCCTTCTCTGTCTGGACCAATTCGCTTCCATCTCCCACCCCCTCTCTCACTCACACTTATCCCTACCACCATTGGGCTTGTACTCTCCTATGCAGATGGTGAGTTGGTCTTCTTGTATTATTTCTTTTTAAATTTTTTTTATTTGAAAGAGTTAGAGAGAGAGGTAGAGCCAGAGAGAGAGAGAGGTCTTCCACTCCACTGGTTCACTCCCCAAATGACCACAACAGCCAGAGCTGAGCTGATCTGAAGCCAGGATCCAGGAGCTTCTTCCAGGTCTCCCACACAGGTGCAGGGACCCAAAGAATTGTCCATCTTCTACTGCTTTCCTAGGCCATAGCAGAGAGCTGGATAGGAAGAGGAACAGCCGGCATATGGGATATCGGCACTGCAGGCTGGGGCTTTAACCTGCTGTGCCACAGCGCCGGCCCTTTTTAGTTTTATTTCAATAGCTTCAAGAGGCAGCTGGTGGTAGCAGAAAAGTCAGGCCAGGAAAAGTTCAGATGGACCCAGCTTCCATTCCCTTCCGTCAGCCGGGTTCTTAGTTCCATGCAGCAGAGCCCACTCTGGCCGAGGTGAACAGGAGTCATGGGACCACACACACAATCCCTGGGCAGGTTGGGGTTAGGGATGACACATGCTCAGGGACACCGGCTGGCTGAACCCAAGGCCAAAATCAGGCCACTGGAGCCAGTGGAGAAGGCAGACCAGAGCACCCTGGAAACAAGCGACCCCTCAGTGGCACTGCCGCCACCACAGGCATGGGACATCGATGGCCCCAGGATGGAGACTTGCTGTTCT